TTTTTCTTTTGTTAAACGTTTCTTCCACCTGCAGCACTGCTGCTGTTAAACTACTGTTGGGAGGGCAAGAGTGAATATGCGGGAATACAATGTTTATACAAACGCAGATATAAATGAAATAGTCCACAGTAACATTACAATGTTAAATCTCTATTACACATATACACATTTTCTAATTATGCCACTTTTTATCCCGTTGTCTGTTTCAGGGCCCCGCCACAAAGCACCGTAGATGACTTTTTCCACAAAAAGAGCATGAATCCATGCACACCACAGATGTCTGCTGAGCTTTCTAACAGTATCCTACAAATGATTATTAAAGACATGAGACCTCTTGCAGTTGTGGAGGGTTAAGGTTTTTGTGAAATGATTAATACATTTCATCCAGGATACAGACTTCCATCCAGGTATTACTTCACGGAGCTGATGGAGAAAAAATATGAGGCTACAGTTGAGAGAGTGAAAGAAGAAATTAAAAATGCTTCATCAAAAATCACACTCACTACTGATGCTTGGACAAGTATTGCCACTGAGGCATATTTGGGAGTCACATGTCACTCTCCATTGGTGGAAGGACAATGCAGCAAGGTTCAGCCCCCTCCCCCCCACAAAGTAGAAGTAGAAATGTAGACACAACCACTCCAAAAAACACATCAACTCCCTGATACATTTTTAATTATTTAATTCCCCATTTGAGGTGATTAGTAAAGCTCGCTAGAGGTAATTAAAGGGCAGTAGTATAGAGTATTAGTGCTGAAAGCTGCTGTAGCCTCATCCAACATGTATAATTACCTCATCAAGGGTAGTGTTGGCTTCAGCACTGCTACCCAGCATTAACTGAGAAATGTGTGTAAAGTGCAGGCGTATCACAGGCACAGACAGGGCGACAGACTGGGTCATAACTGTGGTTGGAGTCCTTCAGTAGTGATGTTAGTGCACCCTTCAATATTATTACTCTAATAAACAAACCGAGATGCTTTCCTGGGCAGGCAGCCCCAGACAGGAAGCAGGAAGAAGAGTTAGCATCTACTATTGTTTCCACAGAAATTACACAAAGGTGGAGTGTATGAAGGATCGTGTATTTGTGTGTGTGTTTGTATTACCTTGCAGGTGAGAGACCGCGTGCAGGGTTGTTTAGTCTCAGGGTCCTGAACTCCACAGTGCTTGTTAGGATCAAACACTCTCCCTGTAAAGCATACACACACATTAGACTGGTTATTTGGTCCTTTCTTTCAAATCACATTTAACGGGAGCACATTAACTTGTCTTTTGTGAGACAGCTTTTTCACTTATTTTTGTATATTCATCATTTTTTATTCATCTGATCATCCCATTCTGGTGCAAGTCCATTAGTCAAACAGCACAGTTCTGTGTAACATTATTAGCAATGCTTCCAGTATCAAACACAAACACATTGTTACAAATCATTCTTGACAGGGCATACTGACAGCCTCACAAGAATCAACTCTGACTGACAGCCCAGGGAACTCACTCCTGCATTAGTGAATAGGATCTGGAGTGAAAATGCATTTGGTGATTAAATGAAACCCTTAAACCTGCATTAACTAAGATTTAGCACAGATATGGATAAATAATATGAAAAAATTATCTAGAAGTATTGTCTCCCTACTGTACTAAAGACCCCCTACCCCACTATGCTATCTTCAGGCCTTGCGTTTATTTCTTTTCCTCTGTGGCCAGTGTTGTTAAAATCCACACTGCACTTCTTCCATGCCTCCTCTGATCTGAGGTTATAAGATGCATTTTTTCAAACCAGTATGGCTCATTTCAAAGACGGACTGTGGAGGTTGCCTATGCAGGTACAACCCAGGACCTGTTAGCTGTAGCACAGAAAAGAGTGTGACAAAGAACAAGGCAAAACCTGGGTTAACATCGATTTGGCACGTCAGAGATGGAGAGCACTAAAAGCATCCCAAGAACTAAAATTTGGTGCAGATGTGGCTTTCTTCCTTTTGGGTGTGTAAGTACTGTAGATGGCTAACGTGTATATGTCAGTATCATTAGCAAGCTAAGGTTAGCATTTCAATTTAGTGCCTCTGTACTGAATTATTCTGGTTGTAATGACTGAAATGTTAGTGCTGTGTTGTCCAATTAGCGGAAACCAGTGTGTTTTCCTGGATTAACAAATGTAAAAGTAATTTTGCAAATTTTGTCCAGTTTATGTCGGACATAACACTGCAGTCCATGTTGCATTTTATTGAGAAATTGTTAAAGTTTACGCCATCAACACAACTAGAAAAGTGGGGAGTTTATTCAATTATCAAAGCGTAACATGAAAATTCTTGTCTCACATACAACTTCTGGTTACAATGTGTGTCAAGTATGTAACACTGAACGTGATGCGATAATGTCCAGAACATTAATACTTTATCAATTTTACTGGGGTAAAAAACATTCCTCTGTATATTTTGCTTGTGTTACTGCAGATACATCCACTGCAAACAGCGTTAGACACAGATATGCATATCGCTATAAACCTGTTTATTTTACATTGCGTCGCTGCAATGCCACTGAAAACCATGGGCTCTCTATTCCGTATACATTACTTCTGGGGCCAGTTATTACTGCTGCACTACCTGACTGACACAGCTGTCTCCAGCTGTCATGATGTGGTCATGTTTGACACAGTTTCAGAGACAGGGTAGGAGGGGCAAAGAGAAGTGGAGGGAAAAGAGGAGAGGATACTGCTTGGGTTTGTTTTGACTCTCACTTCACCCTTAATGGTCAAAAATTAGAGGGAAGAGTTGGTTAATGCAGCTTTAACTTTTAAGACTGTCAGTTTGCAGCTAAAGTTTCTGATGTTTATTGCAAACAGTAAAAAAAAATTGTTACATGTAACAATATTTATCAGCTATAAAAAATAGTCAAAAATAGCAAATGAGCTTGAGGATTAATACACCAGTTGCCACCAAATATCTTAGTTTCTATAATCAATATTTTACATTTTTAATGGCTCAAATGTATATGAAAGGTGTCTCAGCAAATGTAATGCAGTGGAGCATTTAGCAGCTGAAGACCTAGATATCTTTCTGAAGAGCTCGTAGAGACTAAATCAGAGCTAAAAAGGGAGTGCACACATCCTTTAGCCAAAAACATGACTGCGGGTGAAATACAACACTGTTCTCTATCTGCTGGGTGTGTAAAGAAGCAACTGTTTGCTTACAAGTTTAACTAAAATAAAAGGTGATACAGCCACCATTGTGTTTACATCCACCACAAAGAACTGAGAACCCCAACCGATGGGCAAGTTTTGATTTATTACTTATGATACTGTTATCATTTTTAACAAATCTTTAGTTTCACTATATTGTGTATTGTAAAACTAAATTCACGGGGGTAAACACTGCCAAATATAGTTTACTGTTTCGGTAATAACTGTTATTTTCTCGTTCAAACAAATGTTTTACATAACACCCAACCTTTGTTGCTCTAACTAGCCAACCAGCAACAACCTCCAGTCAGCAGTTTATCTTAAACAGTGTTACTGTCAAAGGGCTGTAATCTTGTGCCAGCCTTTGCTATAATCCTCAGAATGTTTTTGTGCTGGTAGTATAGGACAACAGCTCCAATGGACATGGGTGAACAGACAAACTCGTTCACTGTACAAAAGCAACAATCATGAACTTAGATATAAACAAACTTACATGCTCACTCACAAACTTATTAAGGAAGCTGAGAACAGAGAGAGGAAGACAGGCAATGTGAGCACAGACTGAAGGAAGACACTGATGACAAAAGGAAACCAAACAACCCAGAGAACAGGAGGAGATGAGTGAGAGACAAGACAATAATGAAAAGAGAGAGAGAGAGAGAGAGACACACGAGTGTGTGAAAGAAAAAATAGGACAGAGTACGAGTGTGTGAGAGCAAGATGAGGAGGTCGAGGCAGGAGGTGGAGAGTGAGAGGATTAAAAAAAAATAGAGAAACACAGGAGGTGGGGAAATTCTCTGAAGAAGACAAGCAGCTTTTTGGCAGCAGGAGCTCATGAATTAGAGGGTGTAAATCAGAGGCTCAGAGAGGAGCAAGAGACAGCAAAAATGAAGAGAAATAGAGAGCGAGATAAGGAGGAGAAGAAGAGGAAAAGCTGGACAGAAGGACATGACACCTACAACCAGACTGAAGCATCCATCACATATCTACTTAACTTCACTGTTATGCATGCTGTCAGCTCTCCTACTGACAGACAATTACTACAGCGGGTTAACTCGTGTGCATCAGTGTTAATAACAAAACAAATGTGGTAGACGGGAGGATAGGCTGAGTAAGACAGAAACTGAGAAATATGAAGAGAACAGTGAGGGTATAAAGAAAAACAGAGAGAGAAAGCCATTAAAAATGATAAGGAGATGTCTCTCCCTTTTCAAAACACATAGTCTCAGCCCACCACTGTCCTGTCTGCAGCCAAACTTTCAAGCTAGATGTTTTCCAGAGGACAATGAGATAAGAAGAGAAATGTTTGTATGCCTATATGTGTTAACACAGGAATTTTGACAGAAAGCTTAGGAAAGGAAATAAAGGAGCAAAGGCAGAAATGTTTAACTCTTCCAGCACAGGAATGCGTACAAGCTATACAATCAGTTTTGTGACCTACAAGTTGGTGACTAATGATCCTAAGCTTGCCATAAAAATGGCATGACAATATTAAATGCTCTCCAGCAGGTCTGGGCAAATAAACAGTGTCAATTTTTAATGACAAAAAAACATGATAAACTGAAGAGTAATTTATGATCTGTTCTGCACTTGGATCAACCATCACCTGAACAATTACTCAAATAGGCGTCAGCAGTTAGGTTACGTTGCTGACGTGTTGAGCCAAAATGGGGAGGGGGGACATGTTGGAAATGTAAAACTGAGCAACTGTGAGGAGAGTCAGACAACCACATAGAACAATACATGTGTGGTGAATAGAGGGCAGGGTATACAACTGCAGTGATTTGGAAATGAGATTTCTAAAAGCGGATAACAGCAGATTGATATTTGTTGCAAATTTAGAAGGTCACCTGTGTGAGGGAAACAAAACATTTCCACCATCTGACAAGGTAACGTTACCATCCAGCATAAACAAAGCCAAAGTCTGCACTCCCAAACTGATAACACAAGTTTGCAAACAAGCCTTGTGGGGTAATGTCTGTTTAAACTCCTCCAGCACTTGCTCCTGTCTGCCTTTACAGCCATTATCTGATATGATAAGACCTCAAAAAGAAGCAGGGACACATCAAGTGCAATTTAACACTGGAGAAAATGTGTTTCAAAAGCTAATAAAAGTGGTTGACCCTGGGTATAACATACCAGGAAGGAACTACTTTTCAAAACCAGGGCTGCATCAGCTTTCTGCAGAATGCAGGGGAAAACTGAAGAGCAGTTGTAAACAGTTTGCCACCTCTACTGATATGTAGCCTAGCCACACAGCAGAATCTTACATGAGCCTAAATGTTATAGCACGTTGGTTCAGAAAGTATCAAATTACAGATTCAAAAATGATTGTTTAAAACCATAATGATTTATGTGGAATTCATTCAAAGTCGAGTATAACCCTTGAAATTCCCTGTGGAGTTATCCTGTAAGCAAACCATGTTGATTTCTAGTGTTACTCAACAGAACACTGTGTGTATATCACTGAGGTCTAACAAACATGATGAATATTTCCTTTCTCTTTAAAGGCATTCAATTGACATATTATAAAGCTGATTAATAAAAAAAAAAATAGCAATAGTATTTTTAGCCTAAATTACCCAGCCCTATTTAATGACAGTTACACTCCAACTGGTACCATTTGTCAGCAGTAAAGGACTGTTGGTGCACTGGGAAGCTCTAAAAAGTCTAAAAAGTAAAGAAGTGACACAGTGAAACACACAAAAACCCAGACTTCCCCTAGATTGATACAAAAATAGCCATTATTTCTCAAAACTAACCTGAGAGTCTTTTGTGTGACCTGGAGGAAGTCTTAGTCCCATTCTGGCGCTTCTTCTCCAATGGCAATGATGATGATGGAGGAAGAACACCAGATCGGTGAGAAGGCGAAGGTAAGGGGGAAGGTGAAGACGTAGAAGACAGCCGTCTGTCTAGTGGACAGCGCGCCGGACTGGGCCGCTTGTCCAGAGAGGATGGAGGTGTGGTAGAGCGTGGTGTGGACGGCCCGCTGGTGCCATGCCCGTTCATGAGCTTTTCGCTGGAGCGCTGGGAGGCTGGGGATGTGAGAGAATGTGGTTTGAGAGACGATGGGGAGGAAGAGTAGGCGAGGTGCACATGTGACGCCGAGTCAGCTCGGCTAAGGCAGGGCATCTTCTCCAGGCTTACGACTGGAAGAGATACACTGTGGAGATAAAGGACAGAGAGAGTGGAGACAATGTTTAAAGACTGCATGACTATATAAATGCTTTAGGACCAGTGTACAGCACTTTATCAGGCCTTACAAAATGTGTTGGGAATGTAAAAAAAATAAATAAATAAAATGTTTTTGTGTTAGGTTCCCACCATGTCTTGTTACGTGCCCCCTTTGGTGGATAGACAGCAAGTGGTGCCTTGCTGAAGCGGGAGTGAGGGTAATCTTTAGGGACCCTAAAGGCCAGCGTGTCCCCAGGACTGGGAGCCACAGCGGGGGCCACAGCAGGTGCTTTGGGCTTCATGGGGACCAGGGGGCTCCTGGAGGGGACGGGGGAGCTGTGGCGCTTTTCTGAAACAGGTCAAGACAGAAGCAATGATAAAGATCTCATGTGTAAACTCAAATACTCTAGATGCATGACACACACAAAAACACCAATTCAACAGATCAACACACATTCCCACTACCAAGATCATGCATTGCTAGTGGGTAGTTTTTGTGTTTGGGTACTTTTTTGGATCCGATTTGCACCCAATTAGCACCTGAATATAGTACTGAAAGTAGTGTAGTGTATTATTTACTAAACACCAACTACCCTGTTTAGGTGCCAGATAGCTATGCTGTGACACAGAAGAGAGCAAATCTGTGCCAGAACTTTTTTTTGCAAAAACAAATTATTTACAAATCAATTAAATGCACTTTTCTCTAATTAGCAGCTTCCTTGACACCATCTGAAGTGTCCTTGTGAGATAAACTCCTCCAATCTGTTACTATGCAAAGTTCAAACAAGAGCCAACAGTTAAAAATACCTTTTGACCCAGATCTGATCAGAATAGTAAAGCAAAAGGATGCTGAGACACAGAGAAAACGCGAGTAGAATAAATCACACATGGCTGTGGGAAGAAGTACGAGAGAAGTGGAGCTCACACTTACGGTTCTTGCTATGCATGTCTTTGTGGGAGCAAGGAGGGTAGGGGATGTGGGAGTGTGATCCAGGACTGTCTGTCTGTCTCTGTCTGTCTCACAGGGAAACTACACCACCGCTACCTGAATGGAAACATAAGGGTGAACACGTCACAGACACTGAGAAACGAGGTGGGTGAAGCACACTGCACGCACAGTATGATGGTATTTTATAATTAGGTGCAAAGTCAAGTTCAAAACAGAGGATGTAGTTCTTAAGGTCATCTGTCTTTAACCTGCTGGTTCAGAATATAAAGAACCAACATCTGCACGATTTAGCTGAAAGATAATTTGGTGAAAAGCAGCTGTAAATTTTGGGATGAGACCAGCCACTGTGGTTAACTGAACTTCCTGTCTGCTGATAAGATGCATATCTAAAACTTTTTAGTTAGAAAAGACATGATTATATAAGAAGAGAAGCTAAGGTAGAGGTTTTAGATTTCTAAGGTTCAAAGTGTACACCAAGTTTGTGATAGAAGCTGTTTTAACTCCTTACAGTTGCAGGCTTTACTTTTACAGCAAACTAAGTGCAGCTCTTTGTCAGTAAGAAAATACAGTAATAGTGTGTGAATCCTTATTACCCACCTTGGAAAAAAGTATCAGCATTGTTGTGCATAAAAATGCATGTATATATTTGCACATTCATCAACAATCACAACAATACATACAGACAACTGCACATATGTGCAAATTCAGCAGAGTCTTGTAGAAAACCACAACAACACAGCAAATATATAAAACTCAGGTGTCCATAAACATACTTTTCAGGCCTTGTTTTAAAATACTTGACATAGAGCATGACATGCAAGTCAAGATCAAGACATAAGGGATTGTTTAACATGTGTGCGTGTCATAATACTGTAGAATCCTGTCAGTAAATTCAGCAGCAGGCTACAAACAGCAGTACACTGAAGCAACAGGGCTAAGCAGACAGACAGACTGACTGACCCTGCATGTTTGCTTAGGGTGCAGGAAAGTGTGCTGCAGGTGACTGAAATGGGCAATGCGTGTGCCAAGTGTGGGTGTTTATTGAGGAGATTAACCAGTACATGCAAAGGTATAACAGGTGTGTGTGGGTATGATACCACATCATGAGCCTAGTGCATCAACTGCAAGTATTATGTGTGCTTTTGTCCAGTGTGAAGGCTGTAAGTAGTTTGTATGCATAGCAGTGTGTGCACGTCCCTGTGTGCAATGTATGTATGTGTACACACACACACACACATTTTATATACATATACATACACACACACACATACATATATACATATATATTGTAGCATAATCTGTGCATGTGTGTGGCAGGTGTGTAAATAGGCCAGTGGAAGCAGAGAAGCAGTGAGGCAGCTGTATTCAGTGTACCAGGATCAAAGTCCAGAGCCACATTTCCAAGATTGCAGCTCAAACTGCACACATTTCGCACATTAGACACACAATTTTAGTCAATTCAACTGTACAGTTCAATGAAGCTGTACTGTAGGAAGTGATAGAACTGTGCATGTAAAAATAGCTTCTGTATCCTAGGGTGATTTGATTTAAAGGTACTCCAGGAAGGGAATTTGTGAATAATAAATCTATAGAACTCTGATATCAGATGTGCCCTTCTGGTGCTTCAGTCAGGCCAAGTGCACCTCATACTTGTAGCTTTGTGGGTCTGACTGGACCTTTTTTTTGGTTCTGTTCCTTTTTTATTTGAAACAAATACCCCTAAAATAGTGTGTGCTTTGAAACAAAATTCATCCAGTGATTAAGGAGCCAGTTGGGAGTTATCCAAACTGATTTACAATATATGGACAAATGCCTGGGCAAGGACACTAAGCCATTTGACCACAAGGGCACCCTCACTATTGCGTTCTCCTTCCTCTCAATACTACTCTTTTTTGTCTTGTTCCTAGGTATCTTTTTTGACTTGTCTCAGGGACAAACTGTGGGAGGTCTATTCTTGTTCTTGATTGTCTCTGAAATACTATATTTTTGTTTGATTTTTCAGGTACCTGGATCTTGTTTTCTCAAGATATGTGTGGGGTGTTTATTCTTATGGTGTCATGTTGTTTTGTCCTTTACTGCTGCTGGAACACTGGAATTTCCCCACTGTGGGATCAATAAAGTTCTACCTACCTACCTCCACCTTCAGATTACATAAACTTCTGTGTGGAAAATACTGTAACATCCAGGAGAGTATGGTGTTTTCCTAATAACAAGCCATGGGTGAGCCCCGGGTTAAAGGCACTGCTGAATGAGAAGAAGAGGGTTTTCTTCTCAGGGGACAAGGAGGAGCTGAGCGGAGTGCAGCGAGAATGATTCTGTGGTGGCATCTGCAGTTTTTTACACTGTTGAAGGTTGGGCAGAAGGTAGCATGGACAGGGACAGAAAGAGACTCAACAAGCTGGTTAAGAGAGCTGGTCTAAGGTACACCTGTAATAATCATGCTGTCTAATCAGCATCTTGATGTGCCACACCTGTGAGGTGGATGGATTATCTCGGCAAAGGAGAAGTGCTCACTAACACAGATTTAGACAGATTTGTGAACAATATTTGAGAGGAATAGGCCTTTTGTGTACATAGAACAAGTCGTAGATCTTTGAGTTCAGCTCATGAAAAATGGGGGCAAGCACAAAACTGTTGCATTTATAATTTTGCTCAGTGTAGAATCATAGAGGAATCAAACAGAAGCGGGAGCTTTCTTACATCTGAGAGTGCACGCTGATCATTTGGTGTGCTTTGTTCTCAGTCATTAGCTGAGTAACTGGGCCTTCAACTCTATTACCTCTCTCTTCCTCTAAGAACTCTCTCTCCCTATTTGGTCCTGAGAGGAGGTGACAACTACTTCAATTGCCTTCACATTGCTTTTTCTAAACACCACACACACTTAAGAAAGAGCAAAGAAACTACCTCTGATGTACAATAGCAGCAGGCACGTTAATTGGCTAGAGCCTCAGTTAACAGTTCACACGCAGCCAAGCCACGATAACACTAGGCAGCGGCAGCAGCACGAGCAACGCCAGCAGTAAACAAAACTAAGTAGAACCTTTGTGGTTAAGGGAAAAACGTTCCAAAAGCAGCCAAACATCATGTGAAATCAACAACTGTGCTCAGACCCACACAATTTCACAACAACACAAACTCAGACACAGAAGTACAGAGCAGTCCACATTATTGTTAATTCAGGAGTGAAATGAAACCAAAAGGAAATGGTGGATTTTTTTTTCAACCTGCTTCAGAGCTCAATTAATCCACCACTACAAATAGAAGTTGGACAGCAAGTAGAGCGAGACAGACCCTCCTACTAGCATCAACAACATGGCCCTTTTCGTCATGCACTCCTCTTTTTCACACAGAGCAGGCCTCCAGCAGGGGAGGGGCTGGGAGACATACTGAAAAAGAATGGAGAGGGAGCTGCAGAAGATGAGAGGGGTGGAAGAAATAAATTGAAATATTTGAACCCTCCGTGGGGAGCTGCTTTATCCAAACAGAGAACTTTAAAAGGTTATGCAGACGTAATAATCAAAACATCAGTTGTAAATTCTATAGTTCTTCATGGTGTTATTCGTGACAACACCTGAAATGCTCTATGAAATAAACTCATATCAATAATATCTCATAAAATACCTAAATATGAAAGAAAGTCAGTTATTTTCACAGTTTGCCAGAGTGGTGAAAGCATGTACCTTTGTTGAGAAAATGTTCTTGTCTGTTGATAATATGCTTTGAGATTCACTCACAAGCATTAAAACCTATTTCTTTGTACATGTTTCTTTCAGAGCTCACTGCAGAGAGCACTGTACTAACACTGCCAGCATGAAGGATTTATTTTATATCCCCACAGGGGCCACTTATGCTAAGGGGATTTAAATAAACACATCCACTAAATGCAGCAAATCCCTGATACAATCTATTCTGCACAGGATCTAGCTTTAAGTTATGATCACTTGTTCAAGCACAGAAAAGCTGAGTAGCTAGTGATGCTACCTAGTGATGCTTCCATGCACAAGTCAACCATGAAAGCAGGTCCCATAATAGATGCAAACACAAGGCCAGTACGATGAACAAAACTACTCCTTAGGGTCACACCATTTAAAGCAGAATCCCCAGCAGAAAACAGTGGCACTGTACATGAGGATACTACAGTGACATGGTGAGAATGTTTCTACAATGGGAGGAAAAGCATCATAAGAATTTCTTGAAAATGGCAGTTCCTGGAGGCAATCCACTCAGTAGGGGTCAGGACGAGCATTTCATGTGATGACAAAGAGTAGCCGGGCAGTTAATGCTTCAGATCTAAGAATGAAACCAATGAACCAACTACAGTAGGTGGACACAATGACTGCACTAACATTAAAATGATTATAAAACCACATGCTGAAACAAAAACACACTAGTCAACTAGTCAGTATGTGACTTGGCCTGCTGGTCCATGATAACATCTGCTTGTTATACCGTAGCCTGATGATCAGTTTGTTTTATGGGGAAGTGTCAGGAGATTCCTACTGAATGTGTGTGTGTGTGTGTGTGTGTGCGTTTTAGACCTGTTGTTACCCACCTGTGTACATGTGAGCAGACAACGATGCTGACAACAAGAGAGAAAGGGGGACTGTAGCGGGCAGGAGCAAGGACAAAACAACAGCAGCGGCCAGAAATGTGTGTGTGTGTGTGAGAGTGAGTGAATGTGTGTAAAATAGAGAGTCTCACAATACCACTGACCTCTTTCTGCTGAGAAACAGAAAGTGAGAACGTGTGTCCATGCAACTCCTCTGGTCTCTCTCCTCTCTGGGAGAAGAGTTGTGTATATGTGCTGATTAAGCGTCACCGTGCCCCATGCCCCCCTCTCCCCAAACACCCACACATGCACACTCAAACACACTCAGGCTAGTGCACGTGCCACCAACAGAAGGCAGCAGCAGCTTGCGGACAGATGCAAGCGCGCTCATCGGAGCCACAATTAAAAACAAACAAGAGATAGACGGACAGGGTAAAGGACCAATAAGAGCTGGGTTTAGCTGTGCTACCATTTCAACAGCAAATACTCGTTTCAAATTAACATGTTGTTTGATATGCAAAGTCAACACTAAGCAACATTTCTACTAGATCACAACAGTGATTACTGGATCAGTAACAAATGCCACATGTTATGAAATGATAGTAAACCTACATGTGTAAAATGCAAGTACAGCTTAGCAAAAGCACAGAAATTAAAATGCTTACAAAGAAAAATCTGCCTCTATTCAAAAGCAGTGCAACATTATGTTAAAGGCAGAGATTGTCATCATTGTTGCCTTTGTCCATACATTTATTTCTTGGCCAAAAAGGTTTGTGCACAATGCTACAATCTGGTCAGTTATTCTGTGAATTATTTAGTGTTTTCGGCTATTATCAGCCTCCCGAGCATAACCATGTCATGTTTGTTTGTGTAGAGGATGAGTTGCAGAGAGGTTATGTTTTAAAGTGCCCTGCCGAGATAAACAAAAACTATTTTATTGATCTGAACAGCTGTGTGTGTATATGTATGCATGTTTGTTCTGTGCCTCTGTAGCCCCTTTAACACATAGATTGTGGCAAACTGTCAGTATTTGGACCCTCCTATAAGGTGGCTTTTTGATTTAGGCCCCTTTTACACTGAACTTAAAACTACCAGCAAACTGCTGCTCCTGTGTTCATTTTACACAGCTGCCAGAATCCCTGTACTAGAAGTGTGATGCTTCTCATGACGTCTGACGGTCCACGTACTTGGCAGCCAATGAATTTTCAGTTTATAAACAGAACAAACGGGCTGTAACTCATTTTGTTTGATACAGTAAGTAAATGGAAATTCAGAATTACAGTAGCCTATTACATGCACCCAGTTTGTGGTTTGTGTGTCTTGTCTAAGGGGCAGAGCTACACACACACACACACAAAGTGCACCTCACCTCAGAACAGACAGAAGCATGTGCTTTGGCTGCATTCACACAAAATCCTTCCCACAGGGTTGTGTGGCTGTGTTTAGTCATGCTTTATGACTTTACCACAGTGAAACAATCACAAAATAAAATTTAAATTCTCTGATGCATATTCTTTTTCTCGTTCTCTCATTTTTCTTGTTTCTTCGCTGCCTTATTGCAGAAAACATGTTGACAGCTACTGTACTGGAGTCAAATTCCTTGTGTGTTCAACATACCTGGCCAATAAATCTGATTCTGATTCTCTGATTTCCTTTGTTTTTGCTGACGCTGCTCTCTCTCCTCATTCACTCTCTAGCTCTCTCTCTCTCTCTCTCTCTCCCACACAGCCCTCTGAACCCTGGGTCCGCCTCATCTCATTTACACAGGAGGTGGGGAGAACTCGTCTCGGCAAAAGTCAATGAGGCATTTTTGAGGGTCAACATTGACACCCCCCCAATGCTGGTACTGCACCTTTTATACTGTACAGAACGGTGAGGTGGAAAAATCCCACACTGAAAGGGCAGTGTAAAAGGGGCTGGTGATACCCCACAGTTTGTGTACTGTCATGTAGTATATAGTTTTTCCCTGAGGATTTTCTACAACAACACCTTGAGCGGTAACTGTGTGTATTTCTTACCATAGTGTGTAAAGATGCCCTGAGGAGTGACCACCTTATTGCAGACATGGCAGACAACCAGGCAAAAATCCTCCAGTGCTGGAAACTGGCAGTGAAGCATATCTGAAACAGACACAAAAATTCAAAAAACAAAACAAATCAAACTGGGGAAATATTATAGCAGTTGTCAAAATAGTTGTAGATTTATTTTCTGTTGAGCAACTAATCCATTAACTATTTGTTTCAACTGTAAAGAAGTTGTTTCATGTATACAAAACACTCCTAGACAAGCCTGGCAGCTTCAGTGGCATGGTGCCATCTTATAGCTTTGGAGCTGCATCAGGCTCTGATATATGTGTCTTCAGAGAGGATGCTAATCCCCTGTGTCAACATTGTCACTATCAAAACCAACAAGGTAACACACACCCATCAATGACTACTGTGCGTTTTCATTAGGCAGAAAGAAACTGACAGAAAACTCTCTCCAAAACATACACTAGCTAGTGTTCTGTGTGCTAGCTAGAATACAGCAGCATTATGCCTGGAGTTACAAGAGATAGAGATCCCCCACCCACTCAAGAAAAACTGAAAAAAACAAACATAACCAATGGAGAACAGCTATTTTCTCTTTTGGATAATCTCTAAGAACCTAATCTTCCTGCACCCAAAACAACTCTACTGACAGAAATCACAGCACTTATTAGCACAGGACTAAAGCCAGACTCACTGAGGGGAGCTGGGAAGTGTTTGTGGCGAGGAAACAAGAATTGGAGAATGTGTGAGTGTCTGAAGGTGTATGGATGTGTGTCGTCATGACCTTGCATTTCTAAAAAGGATCCACTAGGTTACTCAAGGTCAAAATACCATATCATGCAGATATGTATACTGTGTGTGTGAGAGATGCTGAACTGGCAGACTGAGCCTTTGACTGTGTCTACATAAAAGGTCAGACCTGGTTTCATCACTCATGCATGAAGGACACAGACACGCACTGAGGTTGTCATGATCACAAGTAGGACTTTGTGATTCTGGAGTTGTATTAAGGATAATCACCTTTATTGACCAAGTATGTTACACACAAGGAATTTGTTTCCAGTACAGAACCGATGGCAGCCGTCTGCAGCGCCAACTCAACCAATGGTTCTAACCATCGGGGGCAACTTGGGGGTTCAGTGTCTTGCCCAAGGACACTTCGACACATGGACTGCCAGCACCGAGATTCAAACCTTCAACCTTCTGGTTGGGAGACAACTGCTCTACCCACCGCACCACTGTCACCTCCCATTCAGTAATGACTGAAGGTTACTGAGAAAACCTTAAGAGAAATGAAAATGAATTAATGCTAGGGCACCGTAGTATTAGCCAAAGCAGAAAATACAGCTGATTTTAGTTTACATGAAAGGGAATGTTGAGATGCTTTGCCAAAGTTCACCATCGTCAATACGAAAGAGATTATTCTCGCTCACTTTCCATGGCCATCAGTTCTAGACATACTCTTGGACTAAAGCTGCAATCCAAACTTTTCCTTTCTTTCTTTTCTTTCCCCGTGTTTGCTGACCAAAAAACACATTTTCGTCACTAGCAAATTAACTGTAGTGTTTATTTTCTGAATAACTGAGGATGGTGTGATCAGAGTTATGATAACGCAGGCAAGGTGTGGCAAGCTAAGTGGTAAGAAGCGCCTTTAAAATAATGTCACAGCAGTCAAGTGAATTAAGTGGCAAAGAGTAATGACTGTAATGTGAGCGGTTAAACAGAAAGAATGGAAATACTACTGGCTATGTCTGCCAAGTGGTTTAAAAGGTTAATCAGCATCACCACAGTTTGTGTCTTTCCTGTCATCGTTTGAGGAAATGAACATGTTTTATAAAGAAGCCCATGCTTAAAAAAATAAATGATGTGAAAATGTTCTCTGGCAAATGGCTAATTCCAAGGTTTACAGTAACAGAAAAGCATTTTAGTGGGAGTACCGAGGGAAAGAAAAAGAAAAGCAAGAATGCAATTCCCTCTGCATCTGCCAAATCAAATGCAAACTAAGTGTTTAGCCTATTTCTGCAGCTTGAATTGTGTGTTTGTGTGTCTCAAGCCAACTGCTGCAGTCTGCCAAATGACTGACAGGTCAGAAAATGAACTGCAAAAACAATCAGTCACTAGTGAATTAGCATGTTTGAAGCTACTAAAACCATTTATCACTGGACACTGATTAAATTTACAGTAAACCAATCAACTTCCTGCTGGAGAGCTCATGTTCGGAAGGCAACTTAAAAAAAACATGACAACATAAGAAGAAAATGTGAAGTAGAAAACAGACATTTGATTAACACCAGTGAAAAAATACAACTTTTAAGAAAGACAAAATAACATATTTCACTTTTCAATAATCATGTTTCTGCAGCTCCAGAAGGGGTGAGATATTCAGAATCTTAAAACATTTAAACCTACACCAAAATTATTACCTGTAAATATAAAATATCACTGCTCAAAACAGCTTCAGGGGTTTTCCTTGTAAATATTTTCAAGGTCAGAATCATCTAGTGCCAGGAAAACCATCTGTAGTTTGCAAAGCAAACCGTGAAATGGTTTCACTGGCAGATGATGTAAATATGATTATAGCCAAAAATAAAGGATAAATGCTCATTTAGTGTACTTAACATTCCCTATGCAAGGACAAGCTCATCCAATCCAACATCTATCCAAATTTTTTATTTACTCGCTTCTTGTTTGTAACATTTTCCATATTCCAAATTATGCTTCAATTCTGACAATACGGCAAGTTTGTTTTAGGGCTGAACTAATAACTTGTTTAATGATCAAAAAATGTACAGATTATTTATTAAATTATGAATTGTGTGGTCTATAAAATCAAATTTTTTCAACCAAAAATCATCTTTAATTTGCTCTTTACCATCACATAAAACAAAGCAAAACTGCTAATCCTCACAGATTAGAAGACTGATCTAGTGAATGTGTGGCATTTTTGCTTAAAAAAAAAAAAAAATTTCCTCAATCACATTGTGTCTCCAGTTAGATATTTTCACTGCCGTATTCATAGTAAGTAACCTTTTTTCCTCACCATTGGATGTTTGTAACGTTCCAGTTTCATGTTGGTCACATGTCATCAACACGCCCACTCGCACTACGTGAATACCCCGGACTATACGCTGCTGTATCCTCACATGGGCCCACTTGGACCTTATGCAGGCTTTGTACTGGCAGAGTAAAGTCCACTTAAGGGCTAAGTCAGCTGACTCGAACATTTCCTTTCTCACATACAGCTCCCCTGGGTAATGTCTAGAGAATTTCAGGGTTCCAGTGCATGTCTGAAACGGGCTATAGTCTGCATGTCGATGTGGTACATTCCCTTGGGTTTGATGCACCCTGCAGTTCAGTGCATTTATCCTCCACACACATTTCTCATTTTTTAAAGCATGTTTGCAGAGATGTCTTCATTATAGCGGCATCTTAGGCTACATACTGTCATCTTATTTAGCCGTTTCCTTAATGCAAAATACACTCAATGCATACCAGTATTTACTGAATCAACACCTAAAGAATCACTATCATATTAAAAGGCTTACGCTGGTTACCATCCTTACTCAGGGAGTAGTAAATATACAAATAGCACCATTACACCACTGGCTATTTCTAGTGAAATGATGACAGTGGTTGCTAGTCTAGTTACCCTAAGTTGCTTTTGGTTGTCATCATCTCCACTGCGTGCGCGTGTGTATATGAGGAAGAGACATGGTGTAAATACCAATCATGACCTGTACCACATGCTGCCAACCTGGCCCCGCCATCTACAATTATGTGTGTACACAGAGGCGTCAATGAGTCACGATGTAAAATTCAAATCCACAATGAATCACACTACTTCCTGATACATAAAAATTCACAACTAAAGCATTTACTAAAGCATCCCTGTGTGTTAGCCAGACTTGTATAGCAAGCGTCTGAGTGTGCATATTACTCTCAGCAGGTCTTCGTGTCATGTTGCCAACAGATCGGCAGTTCTGAAAACACTGCTCCTGCACTGTGTGAGTGTGAGATGAGGTATGTGAGTGACTTGTGTGTATGTGGAATTGAGGGAGGTTGATATCTGAGAGTGAGAAGAGTTTCCCGGCCTCCGTGTATGCGTCAGTGTGTTCGCACAAGGGCTGCAGCACGCTCAGACTTTTAGGGATGACTCAAGTGTGTTGGTGTGCAGGGTGTGCTCCCCTGGGTATTTATATACAGAGAGGTGTGAAGGAACTCCTTTGGCTCTGTCCCTTGGATGACTCGGAAAAAAGGTATGCACTCCCTGCTTAGGGGCATCGCACAACTAATAGTTAGAATAGTTAATAGAAACAGACTCTTTTCACAATCACACTTAGGCAGTGCTGAGCTTTACAAACACACTAAATACTAAAAGCCTGGCTGTTTCAATCAAATATTGTCTTTTTACCAACCAGACAACTGAAGATACATTAAGATGCAAAGACAAAACTACAGAAGTCCTCTTAGTTATCTGTGCCTTATATATCACATGTGGGTGTCTCATTGGAAGACAGGAAATTAATTGGCAACTATTAATTTAATTACTCTCATCATTTTCAAATAAATATGCCACAAACTCTCAGGTTTCAGCTCCTCCAATATAAACATGTGATGGTTTTTTTCTGTAGTATTAAAAAGTTAACAGAATATCTTTTGCATTTTGTAGGCAAAAGCAAAATTGTTAATCTCCTTGAGCTCCAAATAATTAATATGGACATTTTGGACAAAAGATAAACTGATTAATGTTGAAAATAATGATTAGTTACTGCTCTAAATAGAGGACACATATAGTACTATAGATGTGTAATATAGACAAATTTTTCCCCCTCAAAAGTAGATGCTATAATGTAAACTAAAGTATGCACCTAAAAAGTGTGTGTGTGTGTGTGTGTGTGTAGCAGAAGTGTTTGTGACAAGTGGTTAACAACAGCAACATCCTGGCGCCCTTAATGCTGCAGAACATGTATAAACAAACCATCTCCTGTACATGACTGCGTAATGTAGTAGCTAGTGCAAATTCCTTACCTTCTTCGCTGAGCTTCACAGCTTCACCCAGGCAGTAAAGCTCTTTATCGCTGTTATTCAAGGACGAGTCTGCGTCTGAATAAGCACAAACAGCCACTTACAAACACGCACAAGCATTCACAACAAACTTTGAGGAAATGCGTGCAGCCATGCTGCTTTGAGGTTGGCTATCTGGTTAGCATTAGCTTGCTCTAGCCTGAGCTGGCTTCCTAAATCAAGCGGAGCTGTCAAAGCTAACAAACTTACAACTGGACAGTTGAGGATATCATTACTGCATACGTCAACAGTACAAACTGTGCACTGTAACGCTTAGCTTAGCTCTTTCGCATGTGCACGATTGTCAAAACAACCTATTAAAATTGCATTTCATAGTAACCTTAATATTTCTGACAGCTACTTTGCTGCGCTTTGACAGACCCTGCATGGTAGAGGACCTTACTCAACTCAAATCACACAGTTGGACCACGCACTTCCCGACAGTTTGTCCGCAAAATAACAACGCTGCCGACGTGCGAACTTACTGTCAACAAAACGTAATTTAGCCGCATTAATGAAGGAAGACCAAGGCTCGCAAAGAAAGGTATCCAGGCTTGGTATTTGGCGATCCAGTGTCGCCATTGCTCTTCCTTTTGTTGCTTTGCTAAGAGCCGTTTTTCCCCTCTCTCTCCTTCGCACGCAGCACACGAAAAACGAAAGAACGATATGTTGACGTCGTCGTCGGCGGGATTCGGCTTGGTTCGACAACAGTCGGAAAGTTGAGAGGTTGACCTGAGACAAAGCTATTTACAGTTCAAAAGTTCAGTGCGTAGCTGCAGCCCAAAGGCTATTAACATTAGACAGGGTCCTTACTGTAGGACAGTTAACACATTAAAGACCAATAACATGTAATTCAAATATCGTTACTAATTTAATGCAGGACAACAAAAATATAACCTCAAATCACATCACATAAAAAAAAGTAAACCAATTGGGGCATTTAGCTCCAAATTAAAACAAAAATAGGGCGGACGCTTTCTAGAATTACATCCATATTGTATATAAAATGAGTTTGATCCAATTACATGTACAAACTTTCTGTGACAAACACACTTTTGATCCAATTACATGTACAAACTTTCAGTGACAAACACACAAGCACAGTATCTGACATGTATATGCACACATACAAATTTTCAGATTGATAAGATGTTCAGAGATTAATACAAACAAAATCATTCATTTTTATTGGCAAAAAAAACATTACATTGGGATTGTGCATGTCACAGAGTGTACGTCTCTGGACAAAGACAGCATGGCAGGTTAAATGCATAAGAAATCATTAACATAGCTATAACTTGCTGGATGATGATTATAAGAGTGTAGTGGCATAACCAGTACACCACACACAGTTAAATGAATTGGCAGCAGCATCCAGCAAGGTAACAGACAAAAAGAACTAACTTTCTACATATTAAACATATACTAAAAATGAAAACTGAAATAAAAAGTTGAGAGTTTATAAAATACAACACCAACTCTTTGTTTGTTGTCTGACAAAGGATAAAAAAAAACTAGACAATCAAAAAACAAGACAGACTATCACATGGAGATATGAAATAGGCTTAAACAGAGAAAAAGAAAATAGTGCTTTGGCAGAATACAAAAACACTGATGGAACTTACAATTAAAAAAAAGGAGGAGTTAGTACTAAACATGGTAATAAAAGAAAGGTTAACAAAATAACAATCAAAAAAGGATTTATCATTTAACTGGTAGAAACTAAATAAATCAAACCTTCAGAGGATATGAGAGATTTCCAACTTTGGCTGCAGCAACATTTTCCTCAACTAATTAAGCAGCCAACTCTTAATCACGTATCCTTTATGGATTTCTGCTCCCACTGTGCATTAAAATACACCAAAAACATAATAAGCATGACACTGTTTGAGTGCACTGTGCATGTTATGATAACAACATCAAACAGTGAAAACATGAACTATTTTCCTTACATTTGGGTTGGAGGCTATTTTATACACTGTATGTCTGAAGTGTATTAAAGCTTAAAACTTATCTCCATGTATGCATAGATTTATTTTAAAGAGGAACATCTGTGAGAATAAAAGCTTTTATGCTTCACCTCATCAATGAAATACATGAAAAGTACACACTTCCACATTAATACATGAATTATCCTTGTTTAATTTTGTCTAGAGGTTGCCATGCATGGTTACCCCCACTAGGGGGCAAACGGTGAGCGAGTCAGTCATTAGCCTCTGTGTTACCCAAAAGACTTTGATACCACTGTGGCTGATGTTACAAATGTCATTCTTGCTCCAAGTGCTCGCTTTTATCTCAGAGATGAAGAGATGACCTCAAAGCACCTTACATTCATCAGTACATAATTAACCATAATAAATTCAATGTGTGCCATAAAATGGCACCAGAGAAGGGAAACTGTGAAGGTATTTGGTTTTTGCCTGTGCATGAATGCGCTCACTAAAGCCTGAAAACTTTTGACATGTTATTTCAACTGGTGTAACTATCCCATGTGTAACAGGTAAAAATACAGGCACGTGTAAAAACACTAAACCCCAGGTGAGATATGTTCTTCTTCCCATGTTCTCCTAATGCAGAGTTGCTTAACACCTCATAGGAGGATTTTAAAGAAAATTACATTTCTTTCAGAACTATTCTCAGTTATAGTGTTTCATAAATGTGCAAGGCATTTTATGACAAGTCTTTTTGCATTACATGTTAATATAATCCTGTGTACTACCTACACACCTGCTACTGTTTTTAAATTGACCATGCATTAATTTATCTTTCAATTTGTCAGTTTTCATCATCTTCATAGAGTATTTTTTTGTGTGTGCCTGGGAGTGTATTCATGTCTAAATGCACACTTGTCCATACATGTAGTGTATGTGCATGTATACGAGTGTCTATGTCTGCATAGTGTGACTGATTCTGTTCTGTATGTGATGTGTGAATATCAATATCTGAGAGAACTAGTGAACGTGTGTGCGTGTGTTGTTGAATATTGTACATTAGATGGGTGCAGGAATCTGTTGCCTTCCGTGCACAGGTTGGGAAGTGAATTTCGGGGAGTGCCAACGAGTCTCCTTGTACACAAACCAGGCGTTGCCTGCCCACACAAACATGTTGAGGAAGCCAAACACCTGGAAGAATAAAAACAGAAAATAAATGTAGTTGAATAACATTAGAAAACTCTTGTAATAAATGAGGACTTGTTATAATATGGTGTAAATATGAACAGACATTTGATGTGATAACATTCAAAGTCTAGAGAACAAAGACTGCTTTGAACTTTGATATTTGGGTTTTATATGAGTTACAAACCACATATTTTAGGAGAGCCAGAGGAACTACATTATGGTCACATTTGTGTTCACAGAATTTCACTCTAACAAATTCACTTTGGATTTTGGACTAACAGACAGTGCTGAGTAGAGCGCACTAACCGTGTTCGAAAGAAAATGAAAGCTATTATTTACTGTCTCATGACTGAGTCTGAGGTTGGCTGGTCTCTTTGCTGCTGCCTGTCAGTGTGATATTACATATAATGGAGTGATGAATTACCAACTTTTACTTTTGTTTATAGAAACAGCCTTTCCATTGGCCAAGGATTTAGACTCACTGGTCAGTGTAAAATAAGGAGCTTGATGACACCTGAAATAAATTATTACATTCACCATTTGTACTGATTTGAGTATGACAGAATGACAGGTTCAAGGAGGACTCCACTGATTTAACACTGGACTCATAGAACATTGATGAACTCTTGATGGACTAGATGAACCAAAATCATTGCAGCAGATTCAGAGATAGCTTCTTATTTCACACATTCTTCTTCCATGTCAAAAGCTGGCATCTTACGTTTCTCACAGTGCAAGTCAGATTCAGATAGCGACTAATGTAGTTTTGAGCCATTAGCCTCAACCCGAGAAGAGGAGCAAGCTACAGAGGTGTGGAAACTTCCATTTCCATTTATCATTTTCATACTTGTATTCTTCAGCCTCAACTAATGCTGAGATCACTTGAGGAGGTTTATCAGCACCTTCTGGAGTCACACAAGCTTTTATGTAACTTTTTTTTAAAACAATGCAGTAGTACACCACACCTGTAAATAGATTTTGATGTATACTAGTGGAGTTCACCTTTACTGTTGAAAGAGGTCGGTGCAAGTGTACCAAAAAAACTGATCTATATTACTTCTCACCACGGAGATGTTGAGGGTCCGCATGTTGGCAAACTGCGTGACCTCACAGGTGATGTTACTGCCCTTGCAGAGTGGTAGCGTGTCACTGATGCCCTCTGTGTCAGTGGCATCCTTCACATTCTGCAGGCCCTTCGCCCATGCCGACGAACACACCAGCCACAGGAAGACCAGGATCGCTGTGACCACAAAGTCCTGGAAATAAGAACAGACACAGCAGCTCCAGAGGAAAAAAAGCTCCAAGTGTCTCATTTTCTGTGACCCACAAACCCTAATCTGAACTTGTGTAAAACCATTTCCAGGCTATGAGGCTGTTAGAAACCCATCAAGAAAGATCAAAACTCACAAAAATGGGTCCGAAGTCAGAGTCCTTGTAGACGTGCATGTAACCTAAATAAACCAGCAGAGCCACCATGCTGTACAGGAAGCAGATGACAGCGATGGCTACGAAGAACTCAGCTGAGGAGGCTGAGTCTCCCACCAAATGTGTCGTCGTGACAGAATGGTTACAAATAGTCGAGTTTCCCTCGATGAGCGGGACCTGGCTTATCCTGGCCACGAACCAAGACAGAAGGTTTAAAGAATCATTATGTTTTTTCCCCATTCCTTCAAATGCTGTCCTATCCATTTGTGACACTTGAAACCTGTCTGCTGCTGAAAATCACTCAAGTGAAAAAATTGTGCTGTAATTCTCACCTAAATGGGTAGTGAAAGTTGGCATTGAGTGTTTCATTCCTGCCATCGCTGCAGAAGAAAGATACAGTGTTACTCCCTGAGAATCCGCCGCAGCTTCCAAATGCCAATATGGCTGTGAGCTGTTTGGACAGACAAGAGAAAGCAAGAGATGAAGGAATCAGCTGAGACTGATGTGAGAAAACCCTGATCAGCTTCATGGAAAATCTTAGAAAACCAAGAACCTTGAGATACAGAAAATTTATTTAAGGAGAGAATGATGTGGGTGGCATGGTGGCGCTGTGGCCTCACCACAAGGTTCTGGGTTTGAGCCCCAGCTGACCCGGTGCCTTTTTCTGTGGAGTTTGCATGTTCTCCATGTGCCTGCATGGGTTCTCTCTGGGTACTCCAGCTTCCTCCCACAGTCCAAAGACATGCAGCTCAGGTTGATTGGTGACTCTAAATTGCCTGTAGGAGTGTGTGTGGGTGTGTGTGGTTGTCTGTCTCTAAGGGTAAGCCTGGTGAACTGTACAGGGTATACCCCGCCTCTTGCCCAGTATCAGCTGGGACTGGCTCCAGTCCCCTGTGACCCTATTCAGGATAAGCGGTATAGATAATGTATGGAATGATGCTTAATTTATTCCTTCTAATAAACCACAGAGTAACAGCAGCAGAACTTCACACCCAGAACAAAGCTGGCAACCAAAAAAAAAACATAACATCAGCAGTTAACAGCCTGAAAATGTGATTCTCTAGTTCTAAAAATGAGACTTACATGTCTACACTAATACTGCCATTCAGCTCTGGGATTCTTTCTTACAAGGGGCAGAAAAGCATCTGACTCTGCGTGTAGGCCATGTGACACTAATACTTTTTAAAACATTTTTAGACAGGGTGATAAACTCATTCATTCTCTCAATGATATCACCTCACATCATCAGGGATAATGATGATCTGGCATCAAAATCTGCACTCTAAATCACACACTCAGCAATGTGACGTGTCATCACACATGCTGACTGAACCTTTCAGTGCCACAATACAACACTAATTCAAAGATTTAACATTACTGAACACTGGACAACTGTCACCCTTCACACAGAAGACATTCTGAACTGTTTTTACACATGTGGGTTGGGAAAGGACTGTAGCAAGAAAAGCAAACAAGCCTTTAGCTCAGCTGCTATATGTCTTACAGTTGTACAATATGGAAATTCCTCACATTGATTTTCCATTAAAGGAATACTGGAAGCAACAAATCTGATTTGTTTTTCAAAAACATATTAAACTTGTATGAACTGATTTTACCTGAAGCTGTAACCACAACACTGACATATTATCAACTTAAAAAGGTGACGAGATGAATATTCTAGCAAACAGAGGCCAATATACACAACTAGCTGATACAGGGCAACGTTATTATTCATTCAGAGTGGAGTATCCGGCCACCTGATGAATTGAAGTCCAATAGTCACTCTCCTATTAGAATTGTGTTGCTCTTTACCAGCTCTTAAAGGAAATATCTGGCCCTTTAGCTGCTAAATGCTACACCATGTTCACCACCTAGTTGCTAACTTCATTTGTCTGCTGTTTGGTGATGAGCAGGTAGCTAGTGCAGTGATTATGGCAGCTTTAAAGATAAGATGCGGCCCAGAAAACATAAAAAAGCACTTAGTCTAACTCTGACAGAAAATCCAAGACACTAAATGTTGTAACAATAAATAAAAATAAAGATCATACAGATTAATAATTGTTAATGTTTCAATGCATTTCTATTACAGGAAGCAAATTACATTATGACATAGGTAGCAATCTTAGACTCACAAAGGTTGCAAAGTAACACCTGGACACACCAAACAATTAAAAAGAAACACTTAGCTGACCTATTAAATTCTGTTTCATCAGCATGACTGTGTCACACACTCATATCCCTGAAAAGTGTGTACAATATGTGCAGTGTGACTTTCAGCATCACACCACAAGACCCACATGTGCAAACGCCATAGACGGTATACACTCATCAGGCATAACATTATGACCATAACTTCCATTTGTACTTTTCAAAACATTAACATTTATTTGAACATTTGTTAAAATGGTTGAAAATGAGAAATACTGTACGTTGGTCTCTATGAAGAGAAAGAGTCAGGGGCTGTAGTGGTGATATCACACCTAGAGTGGTGAGGCTGTTGAATTTGTCTAAAAAAAGTCTCTCTAACTCGTCCTCACGACCAGTTTTCACTCCTTTTACATAAGTTATTCACTGAATTGTAGACACATCTGTGCTCTCCCTGACAGTAGAACTGTGGAAGCAAATGGATTTACAGAAGATGCACAGTGAGCTGCAGAGTGACACCAGTGCCAACCAACTGCCACACTGACTCCTATGTAAACAGTATTATGCAGGTGGTCATAATTCAATGGCTGATCGGTGTATAGAGTCTATGGTGTGCGCACACACACACGCACACCTCGGAGGCCTCTCTCCAGATGTTTCTCCAGATGTCAGTGACTGCCACTTCCTGTTTTTCTGGCTACACAGCACATTAAGCTACTTCTCTCACATTCCTGTTTGACTGAGACTCTGTCACACTCCTGCCATGAGGTCACTGAGCCACAACATGAACAACTGTAACAGCCAGCATGGACCAGACACACACATCAACATTTGAATGCTTTGTTTATTACACACATTTTAAACAGCACTGCAAACACAGCTGGACAGTTGGGTATTTTATCAAGTTTCTATTACCAGCATTTAGTTCCAATTAAGGGTACAATTGCCAGTACATTTTCCAAACATAGTAACTTCTAAAGAGTGTGGGCACATCATTGCAATGAAATTTCATTCTATTGTGCACTGTCTGGTGTATAGTTGAATGACAAATAAAGTATCTATTTATCTATCCACATAGCAGTTCTTTTCCAGTATTTTGGCATCTCACACATCTGCAAACACCTGTGATCATTCCTGAAACTGCCAAATAAAAATCCAAGCAATCCTCACAATTTGCATCCCTAACAACCATTACACAATAGACAATAAACAGAGTAATCAGCAGTGTTCCCTTTTTTTCTTACACAGACAGGTCACAGAATCCAGTCTGACCAAAAACCCCAAAGCCGTTGGAGTGTGTGTCCGTTTTGCTATTGGGTTTTCCTCCAGAACCTGAGGAGCCTGGCATTATCACCAGTCCAAAAAAGAGAAACAGCTTTATCCCATTATTCAACATGTTGAGCGAGGCAGCCTTTGTTAACATTTGTTACTCTGCACCCTCCTTCCTGTTTACCATCGTATGGAGAACAATATCTAGGGCGGTATGAGGGTTTAGGCCGAGGCACTTTACGGACAGTCCGCAGTTTCAGTTTCACAGCACTGCATTTGTTGCAACTCAAAAACTGCCTTATTAACTTGCTGTTCCCATTCAAATTTATGTCCAAAATCTACAGAGCAGATGTGCACACACACTGCTGCTGAATGAACACAAGATGGGGAAGGTTTGCCAAGCATGCATGCACCAGCTTTGTGTTTTAGTTACAGAAATGTGATTATGTTGTAGATCACATTTAAAAGATTGTTTTTTACAAAAAAAGTGAAAAGTTACTAGAAATGTAGGGGTGTAACTAGCAGATATTTGTTTAATGATGAATTAAAATGCTTTATTATCATTTGGTCAACAGAACATCAGAATGACAATTTCCTAAAGCCAAAGGTGTTGTCTTCAGAATATCATCACAACTGAGACACAAAAGAAGATAATGTTACTTTAAAAAAAAAAGACTGATTAGCAACAGTTCATTAATTTTCTGTTGATCAACAAACCCATCAACCAACAAATCATTTCACACTGATGCAATGTGTGTAATGTGGCAATGAACAAATGCAAACCTGCAAATGACATTTTCATTTTTTCTTATTTGTAATCCTGCAGTTACAACTTAATATGGAGGGTAAAATGAAAGAATCTAACATACGATTTGGTTTTTGTACAGATTTTGCAATTATTTTGATACTGCGATGATGTTTTCTAATAATTAAAGTAGTTTTTATTCAACTATTACTTGGTATTAGCCTCATTATGGTGATGATTCAAACTTTTCTCAGAATCAGCTTTATTGACCAGGTGTGTCAGACACACGAGGAATATGACTCTGGTACATCGGCTCTCAATGTGTATGTACATATCCCCATGCGAGGGGCAGGTAAACAGTAAACCAGCATAAAGCTGTGTAATATAACAAAATAAGCAGTATAAACAGGCAGTAAACAATGCAGACAGACAAGGAATGCTCATTGTGAAATGGGATAAGTAGGAATAAAAATAGAGACCTGTATGGATCTGAATAGTCTGTACAATGTACATTTATGGGTATTTCGCTGAAGGTTATTGTCCAGTCATACTATCATGGGTCAAGTGTTCATCAGTGTTTTGGACCTAGTTTATAATTTTTATTCATTAGTAGTGTTGTGTGGGTGAGGTGACCTGTTTTGAAGCACACAGGACATCAAGTATTAAATTAGTATTTGCACACATATACAGTACTTCAGCCCCTTGTGAATAAGAAACTATGTTTTGTTAAATAAGGGCTACAAGGCCAAAACACACATTCACACAGCCTTGTCCCGAGTCAGATGACTCAGTGTTACTGCTGCTCTATAGCTCAGCGTATGTGTGTGTGCGTATTACGAGAAAACAGAATAGCTGATAGAAGCTAATGCTACTGCATCACCCACACTGGATTCCTCTGACTGACCCAGTTATGCAGAGCGGAACTGGAGGCTGGACTTTCTTTTAGACAAACTGTTACATGATGCAGCAACAGTTTGTAGCGCTTTGAGTACATTTGGCTGCCAGTGTCATATCAGCTTGTCTGCTGTATTTCTGTTTCCCTCCTTTTTCGAAGGAGCAATGAAAGCGTTAAAAAATGTCCAGGTCAGAAAATTTCTGACATCAGTTTAAAATCAAGAGGCGAGGTCATCATCAGATTTCAATCTTGTAGAGAGAGAGGGAGATGTCTGGTGTCAGTCTGGAGAGATCTGTGTGTGTGCGCACACATTTCATAGAACATGACCACAGCCCTTGAAGTGCAGATCCCTGCATGCTGTCTCTCTTACTTGCATAGTGCAGGCAAACTAACTATAGGATACTGGCAAAAAATGGGGAAACAATACAAGTCGAGTGCACTGCAGTGGAAGGAGCAAGAACAGAGGAAGAATCCTGTGGACTCGTGTTCCGCTCACAAACGTCTTCTCAGCACAACAGTTTGGCAAGTGAATGAATGTGTATGAGTAGCCCCCCCCCCCGGCACAGTTATTCAGAGGTAAATTATTGGTGAGAGATGCATTAATCTATAACTGTTTCCTCTGAAGGTCAGGCCCATGCAACCAGCAAATCCAACTGCATTGGATGTAAATGATCTGCACCAACTTTACCCAACTTTGTCAAATAAATGTTATCCTCATTTTCAATGTATGATTCTTAAAGGGCTTTTTATTGGGTATTTATCTCACTTATTCTGTTATGGCTAACACAGGAAAGTGTGCATTTTTCACTTCATTCGAATTCATTCTTGCAAGCTTAATACTGCTTTCTGCAGCTGTAAGATTTGTTTTAAGTTGATACATACTCTATGAATATGTGATTATGGTTATGGTCATATTCGTGTGGTCCATAAAACAGTTCTCCCACCTTCATCTCCATTTTAACAGATTACGCCTAAAACTGATTAGTCTATTTTTTCAAGGGTGAAAATCACCTGGAAAATCCAAGGACCAAGAGAAAAGAATGAACCTCCATGTCCTGTGGATATAGCACAGTCACACACACATATACAGGATGCATCTAACTTACCCACTCAACCAGCTTGACGAAGCCCAGAGGCTCCTTTAGCGGCGACAAGTTCAACCGAAATCCGGTCATCATGATTATGTTTATGGTCCAGAGTCTTTATCCAAATATTCCTAAGCTGTGGATATTGGTCCACCAGGGAGGGAAACGAGGAGTCGTTTGACAGAATGACGTCGAGTTTACTGCCAACGCTGAAAAAAATAACCAGACTAAGTTATTTAAAGTAAGTTTTACAACGCGACTTTGCTCGAAAGCAGCTGAATCACATTTCGGTCATGGAAGAAAGATCCTTCTGCTTAACTGAAAACACACGCTTACACTTTTCAAGATCTTTTTAACACCAATTGTCAGTGGAGTAATTCACTAGTTAAGGTGAATATTTTTTGTAGTGTAGCTTGAAAAACGACCGAATTCGCTGCGCTCCACTCAGTGATGCGCAAATACGCAGGCGATGCAGCGGATAAAAGGCGTGTGTGCGTGCGTATGTATGCCAAATTACGCTTTACTTTGATGAGAAAGTGTCATGTGCCTGCAGTTATAGTAAAAGTTAAATGCAAAAGTGTCACCCTATCTAGGCTAATATAGGTTCCACGCTGTAGTGAGTTTTGGTTTCCCTTCACTGTGCTGGAAAAAGATCTCTCTCTTTACGAATCATACAATCAAATACCACAAAACAACTTAAAATATGCCCATACAGCTACAGTATAAGCAGTGGATCACAGTTGAAAATCTTTGTACAGTAACACGAGAGGGTTTCCCCAAGAAAGTTACAGTCGAGCACCTAAAGGCAGCGGAAGTGGCCCACTTCACTGGATCCATCCGCTTGCGTACGGAGGCTGCCTCCGCCTTGCTGAGTATGCAGTTAACTGTGTAAACGCTTCTGTGGTGCTGACTGGGTCATGAGACTCTCGGGGCAAATCACAGACCAAAAGATTAGCTCAATTAAGAAAAAAGTGTTACTTCAGAGGCTGCAGCCTTGAGTTAGAATTAAAGTACTAAAGGCTCGTTTCACCTAAAGTCCGAAGTCTGTGTTCCTGTCTAATGCGACTCTTAGATTATGTAATGCCGCTTTGGAGCAAGCTTTCGAATTCTTCAAATGTGAAACTCCTTATGATGTCATCAGAATGATCTCGATTGCTTGAAGATGTGTTTTTTTTAAACAGAGAGCCTGTGTTAAAAGCTTAGAAAACAGAGTTTGAACAACATGTTTAGTGTAGGGAGGATCTGATGAAAGGCGCAGCTTAGTTGCATTATGGGCTAAAATTCATAATGTAACAAACTTTGCTGTGTAAACTTTAAACATTATAACACCAACCTAAAAAGAAGCGTTTCATTTCATTCTCTAGGTGAAAGTGTCAAATCTGTTTGACCTCTGACCACACCCAACATCACTGATGTATTAATAAGCAGATCTTAAATGAAATGCACATTTTAATTAATACCAATTTGCAGGAAACTTACTAAAAATTATTAGAAAATTAGACTTAGAGTACATGTGGGTTTTACTTTGCCATTTTTGTACATGAGTACAGTTTTCAAAACTTGAAAGAAAAAGAGGTTTCAATTTGACCTTTATATATATATTCAAATCTTTTTGATTTTTCCAAAAATTTTAAAACAATAAACAATACAACAAACAATATATGTGATACACGTTCACAACAGTAGGTGTTAACACTGAGTGAGAACAAAAAAAAAAAAAACACTTAAGGGAATTCTGTATCATAATAGAAAAGAAATGGTTGCCAGGTTAGGTTATACATTTCGATGGAGCCATTTACGGTATGTCTGAGGTGTTCAAGTTTCAAATGGGATGGAGGGGCAGCTTTCTTCCAGTTAAGTAGTACTAAACGTCTAGTAAGTAGGGTAATAAATGCTATTGTACTGGCCTGATGTGATGTTACTGGGGTGGGACAACCCCAAACAGAGCAGTTATAGGGCTCGGTCCGACATTTCTTTTGCATATTGATGAGATAGTTTTAAATATCGCCTGCCAAAAGGTGTTGAGTCTGGGACAGACCCAAAACATATGGCTCAGATCGGCTGGGGTATGTCCACATCTGACGCAGGAGGAGTCTGCCCCTTGGTAAAGTTTAGCTATTTTACTTGGAGATAAATGTAATCTGTGCAGCACCTTAAATTGCAGTAGCCCATGTCTAAGGCAGATAGATGAGTGAATTCTTGTGACTGTGGCCTGTCAAGTTCTATCAGAAATCAATTCCCCCAATTCTTCCCATTAAGATTTTAAATGGTTTAGTGATGGTGACGCAGCATTTTGAATTTTGTCATATATAGCTGATACCACTCCCCTGTCAAGTGGATTTATATCTAAGCATTCATCAATCCATGTGTTCTGAGGCATTGTTAAAGAGAAAGACGACTTGACAAAACTGCGTGTTTGGAGGTAATTGAAGTCAGATTGTGGAATATCAAAGTCCTTCTTCAGCTGCTCAAAAGACATGAAAATGCCATCCTTGAATAAGTCTCTGACGCATGTTATTCCTTTTCCTGTGCCACTGTTTATAGGATGGGTCAATCAGGGAGGGAGGAAAATGAACATTAATTGTATCTCCTATCCGATCCAAAGCACGTCTGTATTTAAAATGAGACCTAAACTGAAACCATATCTTTAACAAGCCCCGGACAACTGGATTGTCTGTCCAATGGCATTTACTCAATGGTAAAGGACCGCACAGCAAAGAGCCGAGTGAAGCTGTATTGCTGGAGTATTTTTCCAGGTGGACCCAAAATGGAGACTCAGTGTCTGAATAATTTGCAAACAAAAACAGCAGCTTGTGGATATTCGTTGCCCAGTAGTAGTAAAGATAGTTAGGTAGGGACAGCCCGCCATCCTCCTTCTGTCTTTCCAAAAACTCCTTCCTAATCCGGGGGATGATTTTATTCCAGATGAATGTGGATGTGTGTTTGTTCAATTCTTTGAAGAAGATTTTAGGAATGAAGACTGGTACGGTCCGAAAGAGATAGAGTAGCCTAGGCACGATTACCATTTTAATAGAGTTAATTCTTCCTACCACTGACAAAGGTAGTTTTGACCACTTATCCATGTCTAGTTTAGCTTTAATTAATGCCTTTGTGAAATTCTTGTCAAATAGGCAGTTGTAGTTGTACGTTACATATACACCCAGATAATTAAAACCTTTGTCGTGGCTAGAGTGTGATACAGACTAAATCAATTCAGACAAATCATCCCAATTTAAGTGATCATTTAATATTACAATTATTCAGAATAGAGTAGCAGTTAAACAGGTAATCTGGTAGTTAGGGAAACAGAGAACAGAGTCACTCCTCCTGTAATGGAATACATAAAGTATTAAATAAGAAAATTGTCAGAAGTGCCAGTCAGTCCAGAGTCAGTCAATCAGTCTGTCAACCCACAGTCAGTCAGCGTTCCCCCCGGCCGGGTCTAAGCTCACTTTTCACGGTAGCATTCTCATCCTCTCTCCTTCCCCCTAACCCAGCTATCCTAGCCTTTTATCTGCTCGCAGTTACACAGCCTTCCATAGCCTGAGCCAGAGACGCAGTCTCATGCTAGCTCCACACACCTTCTTCCGAGCATTGTCTAAGATGTCCAGTACATGAACTTCTAGGTCGCATTGACCTAGCGCACATTTGATTAATTGGAAATAAGACACTTTTGGTGAGGTTTAGTTTATACCCTGACACTTGACCAAATGTACTGATAAGGTCAAGAGCAATCGGAATGGTGGTGTCAGGGTCTGAGAGAAAGAGAAGGTCATCTGCGTAGAGAGACAGTTTGTGCATTTGATCCCTTCTGCGCACTCCCACCATCTGAGCTGATCCTCTCATCTTAATTGCCAATGGTTCAATGGCACCATCAAATAGTAGGGGGCTCAGGGGGCACCCCTGCCTAGTACCGCGAGGAAGAGGAAAGCAGCTAGATATCACCTTGTTTTTTTGTACTGAAGCTCGTGGTGCCGCGTATAAAATTGCAATCCAAGAACGGAAGACTGGGCCAAATCCAAACTTCTCTAGCACCGTGGACAGAAAAATGTATTCGATTCTATCGAACGCTTTTTGGGCATCAAGGGAGATCACTACTTCCGACTCAACATTGTTGCGCTGATAAATCACATTGAATACCTCACGCAAATTGATAGATATTTGCCTACCTGCGATGAAGCCCATTTGGTCCGGGTGCATCAATTTGGGGAGAATAATTTCAAGCCTGCCTGCCAACACCTTAGCCAGGATCTTATAATCACAGCAAAGCAAACTAATCGGACAATATGACTCGCAGAGCAGAGGATCTTTCGCTTTTTTAAGTAGCAGAGAGATGGTGGCCTGTGTCATGGTTGCAGGAAAAGCCTTTTTATCTAGTATCTCCCTAAACACCTTAAATAACAATGGGACTAATTTATGGGCAAATTAAAAAAAAAAAAACTATGGGAAACCCATCCAGTGTGGTGCCAAACTTAATTGCCTGACTTAATTTTCTTTACAGCATTGCTCATTCCCTCCTGGCATGGGAATAAAACCTGGAAGAGGAGGATTTTCATCAGAGAGGTGGGAGAACAATTGGTGATGCCCCACATAAAGAGGAGAGAGCGTCTTCCCCGGGCATCATCAGCTGCAGAGCTAGTTATAGAACTGCAGGATGATGGTGGTGCTGCTGCTGCTGCTGCAGGCCCCGCTCAGAGGAGCAAACTCCAGGGCAGACAGAAGTGTTATATGTGCACAAGAAAGAGGGTTGAAAGCACCTGCTGTAAGTGCCAAAAGTTCATCTGCAAGGACCACTCACTTTCCATTTGCAGCCTCTGCTCTGCTTGAACTGGACTGTAATACACAGAGTTATTCAAAGTTCATGTTTTTCAGTGTTCCTCGTTCAGTGTTGTTGTAAATAAATGTTCTGGTTCAAACTAATCTTGTATTTTTTTTTTATTTGTTTTTAGAACACAGCAGGTAGAGCTGTTTTTATAAGGGGTTACCTATTTGCATTTAGGTACGTATGTGTGGTAATGTTTTTAAAATCTGCCACTAAAAAAAAAAAAAAAATAATGCATCAAAATCAATGTTGCTGCCAATCATTGGCCCATCCCAGGGCCTAATAATAAAAATAATCAAATCCTGGTTGAAATGTATTTTTTGGAAATTGTCATTTTTCATATTTTTTTCCTGTGTGAGCAGAGGGGGGAAAGCGACCAATTACATGGTTCATGCACTCAATTTCTTTAGAACAAACTCCTTCGCAGCCGTCGGGTCTTTAAAGGTGGATTCGTGCCCATCCTGTGTAGTGATCCTCAGTCTCGCTGGATGCCTCAGACCGTAGCGGACTCCACTGCAGCCGCGGAGCAGACTTCTCACTTTGGTGAATGCTACGTGCTGTTTGCTCACGGTTTGAGTGAAATTTGGCAAGACACGGATGCGGTCACCATCAGTGGTCGTAATTAGTTTGGCCTCAGCTGCCTTCTTCAGAAGTATCTCTTTTTACGTGAAATAATGGCATCTCACCACGAAGGCCCATGGCGGTTGGTCCTCTTGTGTTGGCTTGGCACGGAGAGTGCGGTGTGCCCTATCCAGGGTCGGCAACTTGTCCAGTCCGAGGGCTTCTTTCAGTGCATTGGCGATATACTGGGATGGGTGTTTAGCGTACTCTCGCCCCTCTTTTATCCTAGTGATGCGGATGTTGCAGCGTCGTGAGCATGCCTCCAGATCCTCACATCGGGCCTGTAACCTGAGGAGTTCCTTCTTCATGCTGGCCATGCCCGACTCTAAGGCGGCGATGGAGTCTGAATGGGCGCCAACTCCAGTTCAGATGTGTGACTCACAGTTTCGTCTATCCTCTTATTAAGCTGCTCATTGACGTTGCGTAGCTCCGTCCTAGTCTCTGCTGCTTTCTCTTCCATTTTCCCCAGCAACTCTTGCTCCATCTTCTCAATAGCATGCAACACTGCGTGCTGGTCGCTAGTATTGGTCTCCATGTGGTGTGAACAAGCTAGGCTCGCATTAGCTTCGGCCCTCGTTTCCTGCCCCGGCTTGTTCCCTTGACGTTTTTTAGGCATTGTGTCCTGTAACCGTCGTGCTTGGTGTTAAAGTTAAGATTTAAAACATAAGGATGCACTGGAGTGTGAGGCTATATGATGTAGTTTTCAAAGAGCAATATTATAAGGATTAGTGGTTCTTGTGCGGAGCTCAGAGACCCACGTCCTCAAATGGCCCCGCTCCACCAGAAGTCCCTTTAAATTTGACCTTTAACCTCAGAGAGCCAATATTAATAGTTGACTACATATATGAATGGGACAGGTCGGTATGATGAAAGGCGACACGATATTTAAAATCAATCCTGCACAAAAGAAGGTAAAAATAACTAAACCATTTCAAACTGACAAGGTAGCATCTTTAATCAATGTATTGTTGACAATATAGTAAGTTATGTTTGTTAAAATTGTAGTTGTGTCAGGAGAGAATTTGGGACAACCAACATATACATACAAGTAAAACAACAAAGAAAAAACATATCCATAGACATCCATCCATCATCCATTACACAAGCATTCACACAGAACTACACATACATACAGAAACTTAAAGCTTGACAGTCACAAAAACCACTGCCAGTCCAGTTAAGCAGTTTTGGAGTTTCTGTTGTTGGTAGAAAAATGGTCATTCAGACAAAAATAATGATAATAATAATAATATCTAATGTGGTCATATGTACAAGTGAGAAGGCAGTATGGCCACATCATTTGTAAATAAGGATATTTACTGCAGTATTTCTGGCATTTTTTCCTCCTTTGTCATACAAAATAATATTTCTCTGAGGTAAGAACCAAGACAGTATCAAAATAGTAAAATCAAAATGTACTAGAATGCACCCCATAACCATCAACAAAAATGACAACTGTGTCATTACTCCAGAGCAATCAGACAACGAATGATGTGACAGTAGTAACAACTGCAAAAATAGAACAATAACACTGCAACACTATTTGAATATGTGACTGGCTGTCTGAAAAGGTTGGTCTGAGCCAGAGGTGGGAGAAGGGAGTCTGTGGCAACCCAGGTTTCAAGGTCTTTATAACAATCAGAAATCTAACAGGGTCAGTGCCCATGGGGCCCTAACAGCTTCAGTAAACGAGTGGCAAACACTTAACAGACTGTGGTACAAGTGGGCAGCTCCCAAGGTGGGAATGTGTGAAGCTATGAATATGAAGCAGCTGAATCTTAGTCCCACCCACATAAGGTGCAAGGAAAAAATGGAATCTAGAGGTGAATCTCAATTCCCTTATTTTATCGTTCCTTGCTTGACCTAGTAGTAGTTCCGGTCTGCCATGATGAAGGACATCCCAGAGATCTTATTTCTGCTCGGAGGATTAAGGGACGAGGAGCTAGCCTCTTGTTAAGTGGTGATGTAACACTCTGTTTCTGGGTCCAAACTTTGGTTCTTTCTCTGCCTCTCCATATGCCAATGTTGTGTTGTCCATTGTTATTTTACCGCTTTCCTTGTATTGGGAAGGAGAAAAAGAATTGGCTACAGTTGATTAGATAAGCCACAGTATTCTTAAATTAATAAAAGTAAAGCTTCTTAAAGTGTGCTGTTTTGCTGCTGTGAAATATATCATTAGCTATATCTGTGCAGATTCTCAGTCATCCAGGTCATAGTAAACCGCAACCGAAATAACCTTGGAAATCAACTGGACTTGGAATTCTAGATCGAAGACGTTTCAGTGTTTTATAGATGTTTCGAAAATGTTTTTTTTTTTTTTTTTTTTTTTTTTTTACTTCCGAGTGATGCCTTGCTAAAGAAAAAAAGATTGTGTAGAGGGTGACAGGCTCCACAATTTGGGTCTGGGAAAATACATGAGTGTATCCTTTGCAGACATCTGTTATGCACCCCTTTATGAGAAATCAGTTTGTGACTCGATGGTTCACAGAAAGGATCAGAGGAGAGGACATCTCATGTTAGTTAAAATGCATTTCCTCGTTCCTGTCTCCTTGCAGTTTGTCCTTGCATCTTACATGGGTGGGAGTAAGATGCAAGGAGAAGCGGAAGTCAGGGAAATGTGGATGCAATAAATGGAATTGGGATTCACTTTAGGAAACACATTTTAAGATACATGAGATGTAATTTCTTCTGCGCCTTCATCTGGAGTGTCCAATAAGCAGCTGATTTTTGATAAAGGGCCATATCAATCCATAAAAGACTTCCATGAAGGATGCTCTCTCTTATCCTCGCTCATGGGTCCTCCAGCAGCCTCCTCACTCCTTAGAGCAGATATGAGAGCTTTGGGATGTCTTTCAAGACCACAGACGACTTCTGGGTCAAGTGAAAATCATGGAATGATCAAATAAGGAATTAGTATTTACCCTTAGTTTAGCATTGAACATAGTAAGAATGCGCAGCTGAAATTAATGCAATGTCAGTTTTGAAAGTATTTGGGAATAAAATCTTGGACAAATTAAGTTTTGACCTAATGATAGCGCTAGACAAAAAACACAAGAGGACCACAAAAGTTATTACAATTTATCGAGGGGTACATGAATGTGTGAAACTAAATTTCTTGGTAAATTAGCCTACGTTAGATATTTCATTAGATGACTGACCAAAACACCAACATGTCATCTCTAGAACTACAGGGCTAAAAATATTGTAGCATTAGTGACTGTACTTTTATTTGGCAGAACCTTAGGTGGGAGGAAGATGGTGCCTTTAAATTTCTAACCTTAACAAAACGTTTCCTGTGATGTCACCAGCCCGTAGCTCCTCTTAAATCCCTCAAAGCTCTGCAACAGAAACAAGCCCTCACTCTGAAAAGGCCAGCTCAGCAATCTAAATCCACCAGGAAACAGGAATGACACTAGGATGAGATGCTCTGAATGAGAAGATAATTAACTCCAAAAGGCATTAGTGAGCATTTCAACCAGGGCAATGAATCCAAATTAAAGGGCAAGGTGCCTTCTCAGGGCACTTGAACACTTTTCCAGAAATGGAAAGTTTCTGTTTGTCATGAGTTAAGGCCGAGTTTTGCTTGGCATGTACCATCAACTGGTACATGTTGCTATCAGAAAATATTTATCATCCCAAGTCTCACTTCTCTGCCTCTTGGTTGTTTTTACATTGCCAAAACAAAAACCGCCTCTAAGTGTTTCACCACCTGTTTGCCATAACATTGCATATCCTTCATATCCTTTCAGTATAAAAGGCCAGCAAAGAAAATAAAGAGCATTTTTCCCCCAAAACAATAAGTACATTTGCATAAAGGACTACCACACAGTCCTTTAAAGAAAGAAAAGGTCAGTATGCATATCCACTCACACACACACACACCATACACACTAGAACTAACATTTAACATACATTTCACCCTAAGAGCCACATATGTAATCTTTCATAAACACATACTTCATCTTCAGTCCAGTGAAGACAATAACTGACTATTTTATTAGCAAATCTTAGTCTTGTACAGCAAAGACTGGTTTCAAGAGCATTCACCATCGGTGAAGACCCAACCCAAAACCTTTCACCATTTCTAGTCCATGAGCAAAGTCTAGTCTCATCAATGTAGACTTATAAAGATTTGGGGCTTCTGCAGGACTCAGACAAAAATTTACCTATTGATGAAAAAAACATTATCACAAATTATGGAATAACTGAACTGAAATATGGAAACAAATCTGAAATTACGGATTGTGGATTGAGCCTTCAAGGTGTGAATGCGCAGTGGTGATGGCAAGAAGATGATCATTTATATACCTATAGAGATGCACTAATAACATTTATTTTGACAGAGAAAGAGCACAAAGTATTCAGCTAGTACTTGACAGGTGTAGGCCTTTTATAATGTTGGGCCGTAACTACTGATTAAAAGCAATAAATGGAAGAAAACTGAATTCCTTCATCACCCATATTTACAATGTTTGTGATCTTTCCTGTTAACAAGCCAAAGAAAAACATTTGTTGTTGTTGCTCAATGTTATCAGTGCACAGTATACAATGATCATCATATTCTTCCTTCACATATAAGACAAAGCTAGGTAGGTTCAGACATGTATATTTTCTAAGTTCTGTACACAATAAACGGGGCACTGCCATTTGTGTAGCTTTCACTTTCTGTCATGTTCACTCACTCTGACCCACCATGGCTCACCCCAAATGCTTTTCTGTTGGCATGGAAAAGTCTTCAGACACACTGCTTATCAGCAGCTGGTCACATTCTTTACGCTGCAAGATGCCCAGCCTAGCAGTGTAATATGCAGAAGTTTAATCTGGGGCAGCAGCATGGGGATGTGACTGAATGGTTTATCAGCATAACTGCAACTTCTCGCCCTCTGCATGACATCTGTTATTCCTGTCACTCACTGTACCTTTTACACATTTTCTTACCCCTCATACTAATGGGGTGTTCGACATTGAGCAAGGGGTGTGGGTTTCCTATCTTCCCTCTCTCTGCTGGAAAACCAACAAACAGTGTTTTGGAACTGAGGCTAAGTTCTGTCAATTTTAAGGGAGTATTGGGATTTTCTATTTGTTTTCAGGTGTCTTCAGACTTTGGGATTGGGGTCGATTAGCAGTGCACGCTACCTCCATTTTCTGGGGTGACATTGGAGGCTAAAAGGTGAAGGGCTGAAGGGGGTGGGGGAGGGTGGGGGTTTGTTACTGGGTTTTGGTAGTTGACGGGGGTTTAGTGGGGCTGTGCTTAGTGCAGCAGCTCGTCCAGCTCGTTCTTTTTGAGCTTAGCATTGTCTCTGACTTCGTCAAATGTGTACGTCTTCACAATCTTCCCATTCTGAAAGACTGTGTGCAACAGGTCCTGAAGAGGAATAAAAAAAACAAGTTGGGGTCAGGGTGGGGATGATGGTGGTGGGTGTGTAAATAAGAGGGAAGGTGACAAGGGAGGTAAAGAGGGGCAGAGTAAAATACAAAGGAAGAAAGAGAAAATGTGATGGTGAGGGAGGGTGTAAGTGAAAATAATTTGCTTATGCTGGACTCAAAAGAATTTATGTGTACAAAAGTGACCACTAGGCTGAGGGACTCACCACGCCATACTCCTCCAGGTCTCCCTTGCCCTCCTCCAGGGTGACAAAGTCTCCACTCTGCGTCCGGTGCAGAGACAAACGACCTTTCTTTGACCTCTTGTTGGGGTCAGCCACTGGGTCTTTGAACACATTCACCTTTTCCCACAACATCACATGGAAAAGGAATTTAAAAATCATGGTGTGTATTACAAAGTGCTGTACTGAAATAAAACCTAAACAAAGGTTTAAGTTAAGTTCTATACTTACTTATGGTCATATCAGAAATAAAATGATCAATGAAACAATGACTAGTTTTTAAAATTCCAGCGAGCAGCTCCTCACCCCTAATCCATTAGTAACCACATAGCTGCATTTGAAGGAGCAGTTGAGCAGATCTCTGGTCAGCTTCTGCAGCAGCGCCCCTCCAGATCCGAAGGTAATGTTCTCAATAGACCACCTGTGTTCCTTCATACCCTCCACTATCTGTGGAAAAAACATTCACAATCAGAAATTGCTGATGTACTTCTCACTTCAAGCTGATTTACCATCTGGGGAGAAATGTAACCAGCTATTCTTGTGATCTCTACCTCTTGCAGTGTGTTGATATCGACTCCGTCTCCTTGTATGATTCTGATGTAAGGAGGGAGAACCTTAAAACCTTTAGAGTTCTCCTCTGGAGGAAACTTCTTACCCAGGATATCCAAAACCTGGCAGAAAAGAAGAGAGGAAGAGTGGAGGGTTAGTTTTCCTGGCCTGTCTTAAGATCCTGGTTAAAAGACAAGCCAACTACATGGCTACACCTTCAACACTGTATCGAGTGGGTTTCCTGAGTCTGGTCGAACAACCAGTGGAGCATCTGCACTGCGCTTCTCTATCAACCCCCGTAGGTCTTCTCCCCAGATCTTCTCGCAGGCGTTGTAGATGTCATAGCTGTCACTCACTATGGATACAGGGACATTGGGAAACTGCTTGATGATGTGCTCAAAAGCATCTTTTTCATGGTCCTTTCCCCATGCTGTGATGGTACTGAAGAAGAGAACAGAAAAAGGCAGAAAATAATTTCTCTTCACATATGGTTGATCAGCTTGTGGACAGCTTCTGTGGTCGATTTGAATTTTGTACCTTTACATGAACTATATATACATATATACCTAACAAAAGGAAAAGCATATTATAGGTAAATGACATTCATCACATGATTATACCACAGATCGTCCAGAAGAGGGAAGTGTACTCCGGGTTTTAGTCTTGGATGAAAGCATATCTGGGCCAAATTGTATTTCTTTAAGCTTAAGATAGGTTTGTTTTGCCATAGACATATTACAATATTAGTATTAAAAGCCAAAAACATAGTGTTTTTAACTACTATCCTCTGGTGTGTGGTTTCTTGATTAGTTAGAAGCCATATCTGTATTTTTAGACTGATGAATGCATGCTTTACTCTATAGATTAACACCCTCTCCATTTTCATATAAGTTCCTGATTTACAAATTTAAGGCTCACTGAACCTAAATAAAATAATAAAAAACACAATTCCCCCCAACATTTCCTAAGTCATATCTAGCTATGATCAAAGACCTTGTCTATAATATCGGTATTGTATATTATTTTAACATTGCTTTCTGTGCATCTATTCTTACAAGGCTCGGTTTTTCTTTATAGGGCACTTTGTTTGCATTGACAATGTACAGTAAACATCTGAAGAGACAAGGTTTTGAACATTAGAGCCCTGAAGGTGACACACCTCATCTCTGATCACCCCTCCCTCTTCCTTCTTTCTACACCAAAATCAAAGTGGAATTTCACTGTGACTCCTCCCTCAGAGGTGGAAACCAAACAGATTTTAGAAGGGGGCTGTTACATAATGGTTACTATGACAATTACTGAGACCATCCCATAATGCACTGGTGCAGGGAGGAAGGGTGTGCTGGAGCAGAGGGGGAGAGCAATGATGTGTGTGTGTGTGTGTGTGTGTGTGTGTGTGTGTGTGTGTGTGTGTGTGTGTGAGTGTGAGTGTGAGTGTGTGTGAGAGAGCATGTGAGCAGGATAAATGGATCAGTGACATAAAACAACACCGGATTCATGTGAGGGGTATGTGCTTCAGGCCAGCAGCCAATCAAAACCCCCATCGCCAGCCAATCACAGCCCCATTCACAAACAGATATAGATGAAGCAGATAATGAGTGTGAGGGTGACCAAGCTCTAATCAGGACAGCAAGTTAACACCAACCTCAGCCAAACGTTGGGCGAATTTTCTCTCTGGTTGATAAAATCCCATCATCAGCAGCTTTGGCAGATAACCAACCAGTATATGGAGCAAGTTTTCCCCATTTTAAAAATCTGTTTGGCTTGTGGATATACAATAATTTTTGAGACCTGGATCTTAGCCAAAGGATGAACTGTCTCACCAGAGGCAGAATAGAGCCAATACATGTGTACTGTTCCTCTATGCTTTCTGGGGAACATGCAAATCCACGGTCTATGCTGATAAAGAATTTCGCTGTCTCTAGGGTATACATGTATTACACTTAAAAAAACTTTCTGCAAACCTTTGTCTCCCTTGAAAGAAGTGATGAGCACTTTGGTAGACACCCATCATTACTCTGGGGTCTTATACTAAAGTGGGTGCCTCTACATCCTCTGTAAAAGCCGGGAAATGCTTCAGTAAGTTGCATTAAATACTAAAACCTTGAGAAAAGTGTCTATATGTGTGTGTTTACCTGTGCTCTGCAGCAGGCACTGAGAAACCTGGGACAGGGTCCTTGGTGCCATAGTACTTCTTAATGACGCCAATGCCGGCAACTGTGTCTGTGCCCTTGAAGTTGACCAGATGGGCGGAGGCCCCGATGCCCGCAGTCTGCAAACAGGACGGAGGTTGGTTTTGAAAGCTAAAGAGCACATGCTATTTTATGTTAATCCACCTACTTACATTAGTTTTTTTAATATTACATTTTATATTAACTGTGGATAATTTTTTTTGACAAAACAATCCTAACTCAAGGCCCATGTACAAGTTTTCACTCATAACACATGGTGTGATATGGTTGAAAGGACCGGAAAAAGCAAGTAAGTGGACCTTGAGTTTGTATTTTTTGCCAGACTATGACCATGAATGTACTTTCAGTCTTAATATTTATTTTTGTTTCAATTTGTTTGTCAGTTGGCTTAAAAAGATCTTCAGGGTTCCATAGTAAGATTACAATTCCACATGAACAATATCTACTATAAGTAAGTACATAGTACCTCTTGTGATGAGACACCCCTGTAGCCAAAGTCATGTAGTTTATAGTCTAGTCTGTCCAAATTCCCAGAAGTCTCTAGGAGGTACTTGGCGAGGATCTTCTTCTGCTCTCTGGAGTTTGTCGCCACAGTGATGGGATACCAGATCTGGACCAGGATGGTCTGATGCAGGGAGGAAGAACGTTTCAGTTTAATCCGGTTCACAAAGTCTTCATTTTCATTTCAGGTCATCAGAGCTTTTGCCCACCTGCACCTATGTTTAAACTTGTTTTTAAAATCACTGCTTCGCCCGGTAGCTGTCTGGTCCAACTAGACTGTTTTCCCAGTATTCAACTGGTGCTAAAACCCAACATTAACGGGCTCAGAAGGATCAAAGAACGCTGCTCATTCACACACTCTGGGAAACGTACATTGCTTGATATCATTATGTCGGCCCTGTTACACCTGTCAGGAGCCAACTCAACTGTGTTTATACATTTATATGACAGACACACTCACACACACACACACACAAAGAAAAAGCTGTGATTTTTCACTTGAGTCTGCCTACTAATTTGGAATTTTCACCTTATAAACCTGAGCAGGTCACATGCCTTCTCAGACTAATCATAATATGACTGCGAGAACACGGCCAATGTTCAAACACACACACCCGTATAATGGCCATGTGCCCTCTGCCTTATTTGCATGTTGATCTCTGCATGAGAAACCTATATGTAATATTTAAGATAAAATAGAAGGCTATATGTGACTAAATGCAGATAAACATCAAATTATGATCATGGCATGTATATACTGTAATCTAAAACACATTATGTGATCATCATATGGGATAATGTCTCTAATGCTAAAATATGGCAGCTGTGCAGTTAAAATAACACTCAGGAGGAAGGCGTGCACAGACATTCAAGCACTCACAAACACACACGCGTGCCAGCATAACTTCTCGGTCATCATCCAAGAACAAAATGGAGGGAGATAAGGAACGAGAGAGGGTGATGAGAATGAGGAAGGTAGTGGAAACAGAAAGCAAAAAAGAGCAACAGATAGAGGAACAAAAGGTAAACATGGCATGAGAGGAGAAAATGAAAGAAAGTAAAAGAAGAAAGGAGAGCGAAAGCGTGTGAGCTAATGTTGCAACCCAGGAACGTCAGACTGAATGCTACGGCTAATTTGACATCGGCCATGCAGAATGTGTGTGTATTTATATCAGATATGGAGAGTGACTAACTGTATAGATACTGCACAGGTGTTTATATTTAGTGGACCCAGATTTATCAGGACAGTGTGCGTGTGTGCTTGCTCTCGACTGGGTGACCTATGACAAAGCACTCCATTTCATTTGTGTATTTGCCCTTATAATTATATGTGCTGTTACCTGCAAGACTTTCACAAGCATTCCTTTGTTTAAAAGCCTTTTACTACACAAATAAACAAAAATAAAGAAAACATTGGAGTTAATCATGCTCTAAAAAAGAGACACATGATTAATCTGTGGAAGACATCAAATGATATTTATGATTGGGGTTGACATGGTGAAAGAGAGGTTTGGAGCTGTATAAGTTAAAAACCAGACAGAGTGACAATATTGCTAATTGAAAAATGAATTCCGTTCTGCCGTGTCATTGTGGACAGTCTGTTCATGCAGCATTAACTTCATGAAATGTTTCTGATCTCAGGGAGAAGTCACACTGTGGATTAGCTCAGTGTCAAAAATGCTCTACTGAGGAGGCTGGAGTTAATACTGCAGACTGTGCGCTGCAAATGACACACACCAACTTTAATTCTGCAACACAATATATGTACCTTTATGTCATATATATGTGTGTGTGTGTGTGTGTGTGTGTGTGTGTGTGTGTGTTTTAACTGTGCTTTGATATTACAGTCACAGGTACATTTTGATTTCTTTGCCAAACCTACTGTGGGGAATATGTTCTGTCATGCTAAGGGTGAAGTGAGAAGATTGACACCTTTCTCATAACTGTTTGGTAAACATGAAGCTGCAGCTGGTTAACTTAGCACAGCATGAAAATAGAAAACAGTTGGAAATGGCTAACTAAATGCAAAGGTAATTACCTACCAACACCGCTAAAGCTGATTTAATTAACATGTTATGGCTTGTTTGGCTACGGCATTAAATCAACAGACCAAAGCTTTGGAACAAAATCTGTCACATGTAAACCCACTGAACCTGACTCTGAGACATTCTGAAAGTAAACTACAGTGCAAATTGAATAAACATTTTCTATTCTGTTCAGAATATTTTAAAAGAAAAGAAAAGAAGATTGGTGAGAGCAGTGGGTTAAATTAGAACTTAAACCATTTGTCAAAAACAGCAAACAAGGATTTTTCTAAAACCTGACCCTACGTTCTTTCAGCTACCTTGTATGAATCACTTTACTGCAGTGACGGCACATCTCTGAGCAGCGATTAAGCAATAAGTCATGATAAGATGGCAATTCAGTCTGATTTAAGGAGAGAGAAGAGGTGTAGTTGAGCATGCAGCCAATCTAAATAGTTTATGGCTTCTATAAAACAGCTAACTCTCCATTGTAATAATAAGGGCATAAATGTTACTAATATCTTTTATCAATAATGGAATTAAACTAATCATTAAATCCTGCTGATATGCTTAGCAATGTCACCTCACATCAACGTGAGTAGCACATTAAGCCAGTAGCTATTATATGAGAACACAGGGGTGATAAATTCACAACCATTTTTAACATCACGAAGCTAATCCAGAATTGAAGAATGACATCACGAAAGAGATATGTACCACAAGTCTTAACTAGTCCTGCAGTAGCATTACCATAAAGTGGGGGGCTCACAAGAGACAGAGTAAACAGAACAAAGAGTCAAAATCAAAGCAGCAGAGGTCAAGATGCAAAAATCACCAGATTCTACATTTCCCACAGTGCAACCAAAACATTTTTTAGTCTGTTAAATGCACAGGCCTTAAAAAACTCTATGCCCACTGTTTGTAACACAAACTTTCTGTTACAAATTATACTTGATTAACAGGCTTTTGTCCCACTATCCATTCAGGGCCCACAGGATAAACAAAACAAGCTTACCTCCACCCAGTTGGTAAGCCAGTAGCACTCAGGGTCTGTGCTCTCCACTGTGAACAAAACATTGCCACGAGGAATGACACTCCCTTCTGGCACTGCCTTGATTTCAATGGGCAGGTGTCCATTGTGTTTCTGTAAGACACACACAAATAAAGTTCAAATCTGATCTACACTGTCACAGCGTCTTCGTCACTTGAACAGAGTGTTCAATTAAGCAATGTGGTAAGAGATGACACAGAGGGAAAAAAGGAGTATAAATTAAGGGTTTATTAACACTTCTCCATACTTGAGAAAATACTTTATCAGTACAGAGTGCTGTGCTCTCTCCAAGGTGCTGAAACAGTATATCTCAATAATCAGAAACATGGTATGCACACTTCCTTGGATATATAACTTGGCTGTGATTCAGTTCTAGTTGCTGACTGACTTGGGTGAGCCATTCTCTTCTCACCTCAGCAAATGTGGTTGGGATTTTGTTTTTTACATTTTAGTATGCTAAATGTTTTTATATGATATGGCTATTAACTACCAAGCCACCTCAGAAAATGCACACACTTTTGTCTATTACTGGCCCAACTGTGCTACTGCAAAATGTGATCCTGAGCCTCTATGATAACAGAGACATCGCTTTCACTGTGTTTCATGTGTAAGCGTTAGCATGCCTGGCACCTGTATTGTACATGTACCTGCATACCTAGTTCCAGCCTACAGTCTTTTCCTTAAACACATTCCTTGACAACATAACCTTCATGGAATCTACTCACAGATATGCTTAGAAATAGTGTTTACAACTACAAAGTGTGACCTAGAAAAACAAGGTTTCTTGTGCACTGTCAGTGGATTCTTACCTCCAAAATGTAAGTCCACCCCTTCTCGTTGAAAACATCATCCTGGAAGTGCTCTCTGTATACCTCCTTTGCTTCCTGAATCTTCTCTGGAGTCACAACCTTTCCTGAAGGGGAGAGGTTGTGCAATTAGGGAGGAAGGGGAAGGAAGAAGAACAAGAAGACACAGAAAGGAATGTTGGAGAAAAATACACACCAACAGAGACAAGGCACAACAACGCTACTCTACTGTCCACTGTTGTAATTAAATTAGAAGCATCCAGTGCATGCGGACATGGCGTCTTTGTCCAAAGACATATAAACCACCTCCTGGTTTCATTTCAAGATTGTCTAGTTCCTAGACCATGGAAACGGTTGTACAACACCACAACAGACACAGATATGTAACAAATGTAAAAAGCGCTGCTAGGCTCCAGCTACACATTCATAGTATGAGAGTGGTATCAAACTAACTAACTCCTACCAAGAAAGCAAATTTGCAGAAATGTTAAATGATTCCTTTTGACATGATTAGCTTTCTTCAAAATGCTTTGGTGGGAAAATGTTGACAATGTCATCCTGTTTCCAAAATAATTAGTCACTAAAAGGTTTGGCTATGTGTGATCTTAGGGGTAAAGCAGTTCTTTCTTTTCCCTGACATAGTTCATATTTTGGGAAAATGAATGGAAAACTGATTTCCCTTCATTGTAAGACTACTGAGGTACAACTCTTAATTGTGATGCCTTTTTATACTTAATAGGGTGACTTGGCAAAACAAAGGTTCTCCTTTCTCTTTGACCATGAATCTTTCCTTAACCAGGAACAGGCATTCACATTTTCTGCTACACCATTTCCTTGATGCACATATAACTGGTGAATTATTCCAATTCACTCTATGACTCAGCCTAGGGGAATTATGATGCATACTTTTTTAAGTTTGAGGATCAAGGATGCATCTCTAATAGCTGGCCTAATCACTGAGCTCCAAGGGACACTTTGCACAGGCAGCTGGTCTTTCTCCCTTAAGACGGTATGAAAGAGCAGCTGTGCTTTTGTGTGCTCTCTCTGTGATCACCTCTGCTACCACACCATGAAATCCTCTTAAGAGACAGGAAGGAGATGCTTCCTTTCAACTCCTTTCTTTCTCTCATGCCCCTCAGGATCACACTAACTTAAAACATCCACTTTTACCAACTTGAGTTAACTAGAGTATAGAATGTGCTGTTTTATTACACTATGCCTCATTTCAGTCTTTTCTCTGTTACTTTTTAACCTGCTGGCTTTGTGCTGTGCCCAGCACAGTCTCATTAATGTGAAGCACATGCCAAATGTTTTATATGAGTAATAGAAGTGCTACTGCAGGCCCCAACAGCAACCACATGTCCTACTGAAATGTCCTTGAGCACTGCACTGCTTCTGACCTGCTGGTCTCTAGTATGTTGGAAGCAGCACATGCTATGCATCTTGACTTCATCAAATGACAGTTTAAACAAAAGGCTATGACTGGATTATGTAATCCATGTATTGGAATGTAACCCTTATTTAACTTCTTGACTGCAAACACATTTCAAGGTCAATAGCAGAGGTGGTGGATTCACATAGGCTGATCTACAAGCTGCAAAGCAGTGGCATGCTCAAGGGCGCTTTTATTCTACTTACTCAGCAAATGTCTAAACCATTCCAAACTTACCTTCTAGGTATTTGTGGAGGATGTACTGTAGGCCATAGAAGACCGTTTGGTCATATTTGACTTTTCTGCTTTTGGTGGGCTCTGTCCTCTTCTCACGGCACTCGAAGTAGGAGTACACTTTACTTGTGTTGGGGGGGTACTGTTTGTAATGTGTTACCTGCAGGGAGAGGGCACACATGAAATGCATGGTGGAGAAAAAAAAAAAAAAAAACTCACAAAACTCAACTGTACTAGGTTTCTAGATCGAAGACGTTTCACCTCTCATCCAAGAGGCTTCATCAGTTCTGACTGACTAGTGTTGAGCCAGAGATATTTATCCCCATCCGTGGTGTTTCAGTCCTTTGATGCCCAACAATGTCCCCTAATGACTGAGTGGTTATGGCCTAGTATCGGTGAGCATCGTTACTTGTCTTTGAACCCTCACCTGTGGACCAACACCTATTGTCCTGGTGGGCATGTTTGGGTAGAGATCTCAAAACAGGATTGTAGATGGATGATAAGTTGTGTCTTAGTCCACCACCCCTATTTAGTGAGAGGGGTTCTATTTTTACAAAAATAGCTTCCTTGACTCCTCTCTCAAACCAGCGATGTTCTCTGGAAAGGATCTGGACTTCACTGTCCTCAAAAGAATGTCCTTTGTCCTTCAGGTGGAGGTGGACTGCTGACTCTGGTCCACTGGACTTGGCCCTGCTGTGTTGGGGCTGCTTAGTTTCACCAATGTACAAGTCATTACACTCCTGACTGATGAAGCCTCCTGGATAAGAGGTGAAACGTCTTCGACCTAAAAACCTAGTCCAGAAGTTTTTTCAGCTTACTATGACCTGGATGACTGAGAATCTGCACGGACATCAAATGCATGAGACAACTTAGCCTAGGCCTTTACACTTAATAACGTGCTGAAATCACTTGGGTTAGTAGCAATACAAAACTGTTACCATAACTGAATCACATCACATAATTCACTAAAAGCACAGTCCAAGTTGTTAGGTATTTTTAGTCAGATAGATATTGGTTAGATACTTGATGTATTAGAAATGTTTAGAGTAGACAGGATGTCTAGCTCAGGCTGTTAAATGCTTAAACATTATCATGAGTTGCTGCAGGTTGTTTATGGTCAAGGATAACTAGATAGAAAGTTGATGACTGTCAGCAGACAGGATGTTTAATATTATTATTATGACGTGTATAACTGTAGCCTTAGCCATAATATTTTCTTATGTTTAATGTCATGTCACTAGAGGTCGTGTAAAGAATGTTTTAGCTACACACCACATAATCAACAGACAATCACACATTGATTTTCTTCATGTTTTGACTACTGCTATGGCCAGCTGCAAAGCTGGCCCTGGGAGACGTCACGATTTGGCATCTCCTGAGTAGAATGGGGTTAGTCTGAAGTGATATAATGTATAGGCCTGTTGTGGTTCAGGGTCTTTCAACTTTCAGCTGCCTGCGTGCATGTTGGAGGTGCAAGATACCTGAGCGTGTAATGTTGATTTTTACCTGTGTACATTGAATAACTCAGCACTGTTTTGAAGTTACTTGGACTGCTTCGTCTCTCAGAGTTAGCGTGGTTAAAAGTACCGGGTCCAACAAAGTGATGTTACGTGAAGACTCACAAGATTGATCAGAACCCTTTTTAAATTGCTAAGCCTTAGATGTGGAAAAGGTTTGTTGGTTTTACTTTTGTAAGAGATTTCAGTTTTTGAGCATATTTTTACTGAGCCATTATGAGCTACTAAGTGTACATTGAAAGGCAAAAATGGCAATTTATCAACTTAAAATTATATACAATAAGGTGTGCAAAATGAAAAAGGACAAAAATACTTTCTCACACAACTGGATGTACAGTTGTGTGAGAAAGGACAAAAATACTTTCTCACACAACTGGATGTACAGTGCCTTGCGAAAGTATTCGGCCCCCTTGAACTTTGCGACCTTTTGCCACATTTCAGGCTTCAAACATAAAGATATAAAACTGTAATTTTTTGCGAAGAATCAACAACAAGTGGGACACAATCATGAAGTGGAACGAAATTTATTGGATATGTCAAACTTTTTTAACAAATAAAAAACTGAAAAATTGGGCGTGCAAAATTATTCAGCCCCCTTAAGTTAATACTTTGTAGCGCCACCTTTTGCTGCGATTACAGCTGTAAGTCACTTGGGGTATGTCTCTATCAGTTTTGCACATCGAGAGACGGAAATTTTTGCCCATTCCTCCTTGCAAAACAGCTCGAGCTCAGTGAGGTTGGATAGAGAGCGTTTGTGAACAGCAGTTTTCAGTTCTTTCCACAGATTCTCGATTGGATTCAGGTCTGGACTTTGACTTGGCCATTCTAACACCTGGATATGTTTATTTGTGAACCATTCCATTGTAGATTTGGCTTTATGTTTTGGATCATTGTCTTGTTGGAAGACAAATCTCCGTCCCAGTCTCAGGTCTGTTGCAGACTCCATCAGGTTTCCTTCCAGAATGGTCCTGTATTTGGCTCCATCCATCTTCCCATCAATTCTAACCATCTTCCCTGTCCCTGCTGAAGAAAAGCAGGCCCAAACCAGGATGCTGCCACCACCATGTTTGACAGTGGGGATGGTGTGTTCAGGGTGATGAGCTGTGTTGCTTTTACGCCAAACATAACGTTTTGCATTGTTGCCAAAAAGTTCGATTTTGGTTTCATCTGACCAGAGCACCTTCTTCCACATGTTTGGTGTGTCTCCCAGGTGGCTTGTGGCAAACTTTAAACAACACTTTTTATGGATATCTTTAAGAAATGGCTTTCTTCTTGCCACTCTTCCATAAAGGCCAGATTTGTGCAGTATACGACTGATTGTTGTCCTATGGACAGAGTCTCCCACCTCAGCTGTAGATCTCTGCAGTTCATCCAGAGTGATCATGGGCCTCTTGGCTGCATCTCTGATCAGTCTTCTCCTTGTATGAGCTGAAAGTTTAGAGGGACGGCCAGGTCTTGGTAGATTTGCAGTGGTCTGATACTCCTTCCATTTCAATATTATCACTTGCACAGTGCTCCTTGGGATGTTTAAAGCTTGGGAAATCTTTTTGTATCCAAATCCGGCTTTAAACTTCTCCACAACAGTATCTCGGACCTGCCTGGTGTGTTCCTTGTTCTTCATGATGCTCTCTGCGCTTTAAACAGACCTCTGAGACTATCACAGTGCAGGTGCATTTATACGGAGACTTGATTACACACAGGTGGATTCTATTTATCATCATTAGTCATTTAGGTCAACATTGGATCATTCAGAGATCCTCACTGAACTTCTGGAGAGAGTTTGCTGCACTGAAAGTAAAGGGGCTGAATAATTTTGCACGCCCAATTATTCAGTTTTTTATTTGTTAAAAAAGTTTGAAATATCCAATAAATTTCGTTCCACTTCATGATTGTGTCCCACTTGTTGTTGATTCTTCACAAAAAATTACAGTTTTATATCTTTATGTTTGAAGCCTGAAATGTGGCAAAAGGTCGCAAAGTTCAAGGGGGCCGAATACTTTCGCAAGGCACTGTATGTGTTGAGTCATCCTGGCTTTGAAATATGTTGGCATTGCTAAACAGGATCCACTAGACTTGCAGTCTTTGTAGTTGCTTAAGTTTCATATTGTATTTAATGCATATTGTATAATACTAGATAGTCCCAGCCCTCAAAGGAACTGATAAAACTTTTTGGATTATTGTTGAAATTCATTTAAGATTACACAAAACTCTTGTTTAAAAATTGACAGATAACAAGAAGAAGAAGCAACTGCAAATGTAGCTTACACAAAGTGTGATCAAACACCATATACAAAGATGATGTTTTCCTTCTAACTCAGAGCAGCTTTACAATGCAAAAGTAGGATGTAAAATTAAATTTGCATGCTTGTAAATGAAAGACTGAGGATTCAGTAGCTTGCTACAGCAGGCACTGCCCAGTGGGGTACTATATCAGTGATTAGAGCAAACATTCAATACAAAAGCAAACATACAATACAAAAATATCATAAGCTGGGTAAGACAATTGTGAATTTTTCCATACTCATACATGCTCTATTCGTCTCCTACTCTGAGCAGCAGTAACTGGAGTCACAGGAGATAATTATGGGATGATCTTTAAGACATCACGCAACAGCAGCAAAAGTAGTGAGGAGTCATAAAGTCAGCCGTAGTTCTACAGCAGTATCTATTTGTTAGCATTAACTAACATTAACCTCCATAAGTTACTATGCATAGCAGACCAAGTAAGGCTGTAGCAGCAACACCTCCAAGTGCACCAGACAGACAAAACAGCTCCTCGCCCACAGCTTGTAAGAAGAGAAGGCCTAAATGTCAATGAAGTACTCCGCTTCTTTGACCTCTGTCTTTTCCTCTGGGTTATTGAGGACTCAAAATAGAGTCAAGACACAACATGACACTAGGCTGGACCAAGTGTGTGTGTATACATTCTCTGGTACACATGCCGAATTGTACACACACACAGTTTGTAATTCACAAAACCAGTATCAGCCTAGTTTGTGAGGCATGTTACCTGAACCAGCTCATTATCACACAAGGACATTATCCATTTATTATGTCATAGTATTATGATACCCACACGATCACTTAGTAAAATGGAAACCTATAATTGATTAGAAACCATTCGGCATTAAAGGAGTTCAGTTAGGTCAGCATATTTAAACACAACAGCATATCAAGACCAGACATTAAAGCTGAACACATAGGTGTTTTACATTAACAATGGGTAAAATCAAGAGACTTTCTTGTAGTGATGAAACCACAGCGAGTTATTACCCAACTCTTTAGTTCCTCTCAGCTCTGTGGAGTATTTCAGTACTTTCAGTTCATTGTTTAGACCAGGGGTGTCCACACTTTGTCGTGGAGTCAAAGTCAAAGTCAAAAGTCAAAACGATCGACCTGCGCGCGCGCGACACACACACACACACACACAAAATAAATGTATGAATGAGTGTC